CATTAGAATGTGAGTAATACAACCATATTAGCTGACTGTACTTTCCAACAACCTTTCTGCCATATTTCGAAAATATTAGTATGTCTCCTAAATATCCCCTTCATCACACTGAAACACGTAGACAACTATGTGAAAGAAGCAAGAAAACGTAACTGGAAACAAAATTTAAATGTAAACGAATGTATGTAAGACTAACCTTATTCACGTTCAAGGCGATTTTAAACTGGTGTATTGTACATGGACCAGCAGCCTCAGTACAATACCAGCCTGACAAAATCATAACCATAACTGTTACTGTATGAGATGCAAACAAATAGTGATGATACCTGCTGTTGGGGTGTCCTGCAATGGCAATTGAATTGTTCCCCTGAACGTGGGATGCACGCCAAAACAGGGGATTGCAAAATGTCAGCTTTCAACATGAACCATTTTGAAAGCCATAATGATGTTTCACATGTTTTGACTAACTCAAATGAATTTAGTTATGAGTATCTATATATGAGATGAACGTGTATTTGTGCGTCGCTTTGGAAGTGTTTGGGTTTAACATCTGAAACATGTCTATTCAAAGTTAAAGATGATGTTGAGTTCAGTGATTCATTTTAGTATTGAAACCCGTTTACTGAATATCGACTTCATAACGATTTTAGTGATCAGTGTTAGACATCCAAAATATATTCCGTCTTCAGATACATTCTGGTTAAGCAACATGACAATCTGTATTCGTTTCCAATATCTATATTACTGATAAATGTTGGAAAGATATCCTAAACCTCCCATTAAACCCCTCTTCTATATAATTACAAAACGAATGGTAAATAATTGTTTTGACCAAAGAATACAACTTAGAAACAATGCAAAAGTTTATCAACAGCGTCTTGGTACAACTGTCTTGTGTAATCATGAAGTATATAATATATCTATCCAAATACTCATCTGTTATCTTTATATCTAAAACTACAATGATTCATTGAAAACGGGGTACCAAAAGGAACTACAAACATCAATTGCGTAAACTTCGGATCGGACTGCACCAAGCTCGTCTAACGATATTATTGACTAATTACGTCATTATCGAGAACCATTCTCACATTTATTAATGCAACATACACACACGACATGAATGAAGAAGTTCCGTAAGAAACAGGATGAACGGATTTTAGACGTTCAAATACTATCATGATACACATCTCCATGTTTCACAGAAGATTTAACGACTCTTTTTAAATCTGTAGAATATCATTTTATCTTCATGCATGGACCAAAATTGAAATAGATCTATTTCAACTCTCTCAACGCTGTCTTTTCAGCACAATAGTTTGGTTCCACTGTCAACACCAACTTTAATATCTCGGATATATCTTTGATTTCGTTCAAGTCGATAGAACAGTATTTCTACCAAGATGCTGCCTTTTAATGTCATTGTGCAATGCATCTAAATATGCCTGGTGCATCTCGATTGTCGCTTGTTTTCTACATTCCCAACACGACCTCTATCAACAGTGCTTGATCTGTGTTTTGTGAGGCTTGACCCAAGCGGCTAAAAACAACTAACGAATGATATATGGTTACATCTAAAGAACAGCATTTTATCTTTCTTCATGGTATGTAAAACGTGATTGTAAGACCCATGTCACACACCTTACATTGAATGATACACTCATAAATGTCATTCAATAAATGTTTCTCAGTGGTTATGAATAACCACGTATGTGTTGTCGATGGTGAGAGAGTGAGTGAGTTTAGTTGTATCCCGCTTTTAGCAATATTCCAGCAATATCACCCATGTGAGGCATCGAACCCGGGTCTTAGGCGTGACGAGCGAACGCTATAACTATTATGCTACCCCACCGCCCTTGTTGTCTGTAGAATTAGGACACGGATGACACGGATAATCGTCAGTAATTCTATATTTCGGCCCTGTTTAGTACAGATTATGTGTAATTATCTTGTTTGGGTGGGTTCACGACCTCCAACAAGGAAGCCTTCCTCATAGGACGTATTTCATGCTCAGGTGCATCTAGTTAGACATTTGAATGCTCCATCACAGGTTTTCATGTCATATATGGTTAGTGGCTGTCATTGCATTAAATTCGACACCACTCTCACGTTGCGTGGAACACGCCTCTCTCTAATTCATCATAGGCGGACTCAGAGGCGGGACGGGGTGTGGGGATTGTAGGGTTGTGCACTCCCCACCCCCCTTTTCTCCTGAAAATTTAATAATTGACCATTGAAACTCTCGTGAAAACGGGTGAAAATTAACTCAGCACACACACCCAACCGCGCGCGCACACACACACACGCAAACTTTCTTTTTCTTTCCCCAATAGCTGTATCCGACCCTGTGCTCTGTGTCACGTATAGATGTAAACTCACAGCAACGGATAAAATTTGTGTATTTTTTTATGTTCTCAGCGCACATATTTCATAACTCAATGAAGGACTGTTATATTACCAACACTCGTTTCTTGTATAAACGATGTCGGGTTTAAAGTGGCTCTCTCAGCATCTTGCTTTTCAAAAAGTTAAATTTCCGTTATGTATTGGTAGTAGGTCAATGTCTGATGCAATATGTTTTCTTGGGGTCTCTTCAATTCTTCGGGAGAGCATGGTATTGCCTTTGTATTTCAATTAATTTTTTACTCACGAATAGAAGTACGGAATGTATGTAATTCTTACTCTTTTGCAGGATGTCACTGCTTGCATCCAATCGAGTCAAGGATTGCATATTTGATTCGTTTCTGTTTGAGTATTTATAACATAGAAAATCATATATTTGTTTGTAAAAGACCTTGCATCTGGTTTCAGGATTATAAAAGCCTAATGTTGCCACCTGTGAAGTATAAAATATATGTTTACCGAAATGTCCCGTCGCTTGGATCATCGTGTCCGTGGTTCGGAATATGTTCTCGTTATATCAATTATTTTCTCGTTTCTTCGAGTGTTTTCTCATTCTTTCTAGTATTTTCTCGTTACTTCGAGTATTTTCTCGTTACTTCAAGTTTATGTCAAAACTTGAAATCTCGAGTGCTTGAAAGAAACTTGAAGTACCGAGAAAATAATTGAAACAGCGAGAAAATACTCCCAAGCACCGACAAATACATTGAATAAAATATTTATGCTACAACGTAGCAGCACTAGGCTTTCGTCATACGATGTTTTAATTTTGGAACCTGTCAAATTCGACATTCATTCGGACGGGCGGAGTTTAGTTACCTAATTACTTGCATTGGACTCTTCTTGAAAACACCAAGTGATCAGATCCTGTGATTTGAAAGAAGAGGTAAATACACTGAAAAAACATTCTTCACCCCTTTTTTTCTTGTGCCTTTATAACAAACATCGATTAGATACATTATAGAACATCTTCACCAATGTTTATGTTTTACTATTTCTTCCTTATCCCTTTTATAGTATTATTTTCATATATAATATAAAAGCTTTCTTTTTTCTTTCCATCTTACTGGATAGAATAGATTGATATTACTGTCCACACTATGTGACGTTATAATAAACAACAATGACAATGAATTGAGAGTTTCTTTATTCACAATTTGGCGGTCATACAGTGTCAGTATTATTTATCACAATTGGGCCCACACACAGACAAACCACAGTTAATAGTTAAATGTTGGAAACAACCAACACTGGTTTTGATAAGATTTTCTCTACCTTGACTTGGGCGTAGTTTCAATTCAATGCAATCATATTCATACGAATACGAGAAAGTGAATAGCAGTATTTACATAGGTGCACATACACCTGAAGATATGTTTTTTTACAATTTGGACAGGTCAACAGAAGGGGATAATATTCCGATAAAAAGAAGAAAGTCTTATGAAAAGCACCGGTAATTGAAATGTACACAAATATACAGTCAGTATATGCAGAGACAATGATAATGACCTTTGCAGTAACGTAAAGTTCACTAAAGCCGGCCTAAAGTGACTATATATGGATTACATAATCATTATCTGAATGACACATCGCACACAGCGCCACCAAACTTGATGACATCATATTAAGATGTATTGACACATGTTTAATGACACGTCATTTTACCAGGTTAAGAAGGGGTCATTGCTACGAGATGCAATAACATAAGACAGCAAACCTGTGGAGTTTTTTTCTTGACTTACACCTCTTGCCCCCTTATATTTTGTTTTGTCAATTGTGAGTTTGATATGTCACATTCTCTCAAACTAGTTTTTAAAATAAGTGCTAATCTAGTTGTCACTTTGTCCTTTGACGACATAATTGTACATTTATGAAATGTATTTGCCAACTGTATTGCTGAAATATTGCGATGTGACGATAAATGTTAACTCACTCACTCATTGGGGGAAAGACGTATTGGCTGCCAATCACAGAAAAACTTCCATGTCAAATATGTGTAAGCGTGTATCGATAGTAGCATGCTTTGCTGAAAGAAAAACAGAATAGGCCTTTTCAAATAGTGTGACATCATCATGTCACAATCAGTCTAGAAAAAAAGTTTGAATGAAAAACAAATGTAAACAACTTAGTAGTTTTGTCAGGCTTTTTTCTTGCTTTTGAGAAAACTTTGTTTTAATTCCGTATACCTTAGTATGGATCTATAGCCCGTTCTTATATTGTACTGTTGTCTCTCGTGATATATTTTATGATAGCGTACTAGTTTTAAATTAAGAGCTGTGATATTCTAGTAGTTTTATTGTCCTTCGATAACCGGTTTTTACGTTATACATATATTGATTTGAATATTGATAGCAACTGTTCTCGTCACGATACGGCTGCAATATTGCCGATGAGACGTTAAAATGTAACTCACTCACACATAAAACTGTTTCACCAAGTCTCTCGTGCAATTGGTACACAAAGTCGAACACTGAAAAGTCATGTTCATTGTCATAACGAGACTGCTGCGTCATTATATTGCAGTCATGTTTGGTCTATTAGCAAAATCCTTGTCCAACTGCATTAGTGATATTGCTCATAATACACAATGCGCAGAGAAATCAGGTACAATATTGAAATGATATTGCACAATGCTACCATGAATGACAATGCTTTACAGGTTAGCATAGAGTCCAAGAGATTCCAGTCGTCCTTGTGCAAACTCCAGACACCGGCGAACATCCTCCTGAAAGTGAAACAAAACACGTCAGAACTGTAGACCCAAGGCACACTGTACTTAATATGGTGTCTCGCTGTCTCGAGCATGCATTAGCATGGAGAGATATTTCTTAGCATTACTCAAACCCGACTGTAAAATACTAATCTACACTAACCTATATCCTACCTGAGAGAATGGAGGTACACCGAGAGTTGAGTGTAGGCGTCGCATGTTGCTGATAACGTCCACCCTGCTGTCGTCCTGCAGTCTGCTGGCGATGTTCACCAAAAGGACCAAGAACCGTGCCTCGCTCACAGAGCTGCAGTGAACAATAAGTCATGTACCCACTCATTTGTAATAACCCCCACAATTATAATGATTACGACAGCGGTTTTACAATCACTACAATATTTTCTTTTGATGTCTTTATAAATCAGATCGACTTACAAAACAGTAAGATATTTAGTAAGCTGTAACTACCAGGAATCATTGTTTACTGATATTGTGTTTGACTGTGCCACATGTCTGCTCATGTAATGTGGCTTTACATAGTTCAGTATTTGTGACCTCACACGATGGAGAAAGGAAATGGGTCACCAAGAAGCGACTATTTTTTTAAACGGCTTCGTTCCAATACATATTATGGAGTTTTCAAAACTCTGACCTGAAATCTTTCATCTTTCAGATACATGGTAGATAAATTTTCATGTGTAGAGCTTCTGAGACAAGTATATATTTTACATGTCAATCACAAAGAGCTATTGTTTTGGTTTCACTGAATAATTTTGTTCGTACAGAAATGAACTGATGTAAACACAATATTTTTACTGAGACATGATTGTGCAGGAACATCTCTGTGGGTCACTCATCCATGTAAGGAAGCTGTCAATCAACAGACTGACACTTGGATCATGTGTACTTCCGGTCACATGATAGTGTTGAATTGTTGTGGTGACGTCAGCATCCTGAAAGACAGTTTTCCTTCTTTACAAACAATACGGATAGTTAAACTGAAATACATATAGTAATACGATGTGTTGGTGATATATTTTTGATGCCAGGAAGTTCCCTAATATTTAGATGTTTGATTGGCATTTTAGAATATGCTATTTGATGAACAAAGATAATTTTCTGGGTTTCATATTCTTTTTATTGTTTGGTATAACGTTTCAGGGCTTGTTCTGGCCCGATCAGTTCTACCTGTTGATGGGACCAGAACAAGCCCTGAAACGTTGTCCCAAACAATAAAAAGAAGATGCAACCCAGAAAATTCTCTATGTTCCCAATATTTATTTTAGAAAATCTGCAAAGAGGAAAATACCCTGGAAGTCGAGTGATACCACAATGTTTGGTCGAGGGACATCAGAAGGGCATTGATTGTGTTTTGAACAGAGCAAGCCCAGTACTATATTACTCTCACACTGTTTGACCTTGGATAATGGTTATGACTGTCAAACGCATTTTGCATTCATTACATCCCTTGTAAAACCGTGAAGGTCCGGGTTAGAATATTGATCTTCAGTAGCCCATGATTGTCGTCAGAGGTGATTAACAGGATCGGGTGGTCAAGCTCGCTGACTTGGTTGACACATGTTATCGGTTCCCAATTGCGCAGATTGATGCTCATGCTGTTGATAACTGGTTTGTCTGGCCCAAACTCGATTATTAGAGACCGCCGCCATATAGCTGGAATATTGCTGAGTGCGGTGTAAAACTAAACTCACTCACTCACATCCCTTCTCAATGAAATGTAAGCGTGAATTGTAACATATCTGTCATAAGCTTTACATTTACTGTGAGATCAATAGAGTTCAGGATAACATCATTAGATATAACTTTAGATGTTTGCAGGCTTGCTGTCAGCCTTGATGTGGAGACAGGACTGTCCATCGACGGAAGGAAGATCTGCAAGCCAGAAAGTGTTAACTTCAGGGATTTTTTTCCTTTTCAGGATTGTCAATATTTGCGAGTGCATTTTGGATCGTATAATTAATGACCACCGATATTCGACTATTTAAGAACGAAAAAAGAAGATAGTGTTAAATAGACAACAACATGTCATCTTTATCAACAAAGCAATAGTTTTCCGAAATATTTTATAACTATTCCTACCTGGTTTTCTACAGCCAACGTGATCAATGTGTGCGAATCGCTGTTATACATCTGATTCCATAGTTCCTCCTTGTCTGGTTGTGACGTCGTTATGAAGAAGCCCTTCCTTGATGTGAAGGACTGCAGTGAGATATAACCTATTACAAATACATTTATGTTAACTGTGTATATCATCCTGATCTGCACACACGATGCGACTATGCATCTTATCAACAAAGTGATATGAGGAGTAGCTACGGTAGACACAATATGTTACGTTAATATGAAGGGGAAAATAATGGTTAAGTTTGAATTCATTTAAGTGAGAACATAATTAATGTTAAGATCTTATGTAACAAGCATATCAAAAAGTTAACCTTTATTCAGCCATATTGAGGACATTGAAGAAAGTATCAAACCTACTGCCACCGTGGTAATATGATCTCCAGGAAGACCTGCTGAAAATATAGATTAACATTAACTGCCTCTTTATTGGATCCTCGTGTTTGTGCAGTTTTAGAATGTGAAAATGAACAAGGCTCCTGCTTAAAATGTGTTCAATTGCATTCCACGAAAAGTCAAGTATAGTACAGTGTAACTGGAACTGCCTTCAAATTACATCCTCGCTGATGTCAATAAGGCACCACTGCTCAAAGTACAGTATCCCTTGGATATAACGCCCCTGGTTGTAATACCACCCAGGATATGATGGCGTGTTTTTGCCAGAACGGATTTCTTTTCCTTATAATACCCTGGTTACAATGCCATCTGCCAATGATTTTGGGAACAAAAATCATTTTAATGCCAATTACGCTGGCTGCATGTATACATATCTTAATTGGTTAATTGACAAAACTCAAATTATTTGACCAAACACATTAGGGCTTTAAGTAGTCGTGTTCCCAGATTGGATAACACATGTGACAATACACTTCCTGCTACCTACAACAAGTCACCTGCAGCCCCCAGATGCTGGGATTATCCAGTTATTCAAGGATCATTACAGGAGACATCAACTCAATCACCTTGTTGATTGTATAGAGCCTGAAAGTGTCCTACCTGGTTATAATGCCACCCTGGATATAATGCCCTATCTTCTCCTGGAAAACTGTGACATTATAACCAGGGTATACTGTATGCGTGATTCTGACTAGCATGAGTTTGAGACAATATGGCCGACAACAGGTAGACAGGTGAAAATCTGTCAATGGACTGACCACATATATATGCAGAGTGAATAGTGCATCAAATCCAAAACTGTTAAAATCGAAAATGGGAATTACTCCACAACAGTTTCGTGCTAAAATTGATGTTTTGCACACACCCAGTGGTGGATATTGTCGAAGATGTGTCGGCGAGCAGTGTCGGCTCGCATACCACAAAACAAGCAATGGCGAGTATAGCCACCCGGTTCACAGTGTTGAACCTTATACTTGCTCTGCTATTGCGTGCGGGTGTGGAGCCTAACCCAGGTCCCACAGATCGACGGGTGGACGACAGAAGAGAGACAAGAAGTGGAGGTGCCACCAAACAGACGTATTTGTCATTGGGAAATGAGTCTGAACAATCACGGTCTGACCTAGTTTATCAAGCCATCCGGGATCTCACACACAGGTTCGACGAAATAGTGAAGTCCAACAAGGACGTGCACAGTAAGTTAGACACTATTAACTCATCAATTGTGCATATGAGTGCTCAATTACATGTTGTAGAAGAAAAATGTAAACATTTATCAAATGAAAATACGAAGTTGAGAGACTATGTTTACAAATTGGAGGACAAGGTAGATTATCTCGAAAATCAGAGCAGGCGTGCAAATATGATTTTTCATGGTGTTCCGAAAGCAAAACCGAACGAGTCGTGGGATGATTGTGAAGTTATTGTGAGAAACATCATGAAAAACGACCTTGAGATTGACGATTCAAACATCTGTATCAACCGTGCTCACAGAATAATCAACGGGAAAGCGATAGTTGCTCGGATACCTGACGATCATGATCGACGAAACATATTCACATCAGCTAAGAAGCTAAAGGGCACAGATATGTGTATCAGTGAAGACTTCTCTAAGACTGTCCGAGAAAAAAGAAGAAAACTGAAGCCAGCAATGATGGATGCCAGGGACAAGGATGAACGAGCGTTTCTTCGGTTTGACAAGCTGATTACTACTGATTGCGTGTATACATACGACTTGGAAAACGACAAGCTTGTTGTGTTGAAAGGGACAGACGACACGCCCACAAATCCACGTGCTCGAATGACGTCAGATGTCAGCAAACAACCACGTGACCGAAGATAGGACTGCGGCCCGGCTCTGATTGACAGCGAAATTGACATTGAAATGGACAACGAAGCTGACACTATGGAGCGTGCTTCCCTCATGTGTTGGAATGTGAATGGCTTAAAATATAAACTTTGCATTGATCATTTCAGAGAATATTGTACTAACTTTAGTATTTTTGGGTTTCTTGAAATTTGGAATAATTGTAAGAAAGAAAGCATTGAATATGCCTTTCCAGCTTATCGTGTATTTTGTAGTTACCGGGAGTTTAATGATAGAGGGGGTGTTTCTGTGTGTATTCATTCTTCGCTTATTTGTTATATAAAACATGTGTTTACTATATACAATGACATTATATTTATTGTATTGGACAGGACCATGTTTTCTTCTGCACGTGATGTGATATTAGGCTTTGTGTATATTCACCCCGCCACCTCCTCTGTACTGACCGACACCAGGCCATGGAAAGGAGTTGACTATCTAGAGCGTTCTCTCTCGGAGTTGCTGTATGACTACCCAGAATGTGACATAACCTTAGCAGGAGATTTTAATGCTCGTACAGGAAATATAAATGATTTCATCATCGATGATAACAACCGTTATATACCAAGTCTTGAAGATATGGATTATGAAATGGATGAATTCAGTATGCAACGCCAGTCACGTGATGATGTGATTATTGATTATGGCAAAGAGCTTCTCGATTTATGCTGCACATATGGAATTCACATGCTAAACGGTAGATTTCAAGGCGACAAGTGTGGTGCATTTACGTGTTTCAAAGAGAATGGAGCAAGCCTGGTTGATTATGTACTTTGTTCATCAAATTTATTTGAAAGAATCCTAGATTTTGCTGTATGCACTCAATGTGAGTCAGATCACTTCCCTTTGAGTGTTACATTCAACATCGGCACTGCAGCTAGGCAGAACACAGGCGTAGACACGAATGGAACCAGTATTCCCAGATTCGTATGGAAAGCAACCAATTCAGTAACATTTAGGGACATTGTATCTTCATCCTTAAGCAACATACATATGGACTTATAACTTCAAGATCGGGTTGACAACATCGACTTTATTGTCAATGATATTTCACAAACAATACAAGATGCTGCTGTAGTATGTGGTATGGTGAGCAGACCATATCAGGAACGAGAGAATAACGCATGGTACGACAACGAGTGTAAAACCTCAAGGACAAGAAATTCGGTTTATTGAACAAATTCAGAACTACTGGTGATAAACAAATATTGACTGAATACATTAAACTCAGGAATAGTTACAGAGGTTTGTGTAGAAATAAGAAACAACAATACCAAGATCGACAGATAAATGAATTGACTGATGTGAATATCAATAACAGAGCGTTTTGGCAAAAAATAAAGAAATTGTCAAGTAACAGAAAGGTAACGACATCTATATGCCAGGACGAGTGGACAGAATATTTCAAAGAAGTTCTGAATGTAACAGGCAACTCGGTCGATCAACTCCATCTCGACAAAGCAGAGGAAATTCTACGTGATCACTGCAGTCTGTCATGTGATGTATGTCAGGATGATGACATTATGTACCTACTAAATAGGGATATATCCGTAAAAGAGGTCAAGGCAGCTATTAGGAACTTAAAAGACGGCAAAGCAGCAGGTCCAGATGGTATAAAGACAGAGATGGTGAAATGTTGTGATGACTTACTCGCTCCATATCTAACTACCATCTTCAACGTGATATTAGTCACCGGAAAGTATCCGATTGAGTGGGCCAAGGGTATAATCGTACCTCTTCACAAGAAAGGTGACGTCAACGATGTCAATAATTATAGAGGCATATCCCTCATGGATGTTTTTGGGAGAATATTTTGCTCAATTCTAAATGAACGTTTACAATCGTTTGCAGATGTTTATGATAAAATCCCCGAGGCCCAAGCAGGATTCAGGAAGAACTACAGTACAACTGACAATATATTCACTCTTCAAAGTTTGATTCAGAAATATCTCTCAAAACGAGGCGGTCGCTTTTATTGCATATTTGTGGACTTTAGAAAGGCCTTCGATTCAATTAATAGACAGCTTCTTTGGTACACACTAATCAGAAACGATATCCACGGCAGAATATCAAATGTGCTAAGGAATATGTACTCTAAAAATACAGTCAGCCGTGAGAACAGGCTCCAACTCAATCTCCGACTATTTTCAATGTTTGAGCGGTGTGCGACAAGGGTGCGCTCTCAGCCCTTTCCTTTTTACAATATTCATTTCAGAATTTCAAGTCATGTTGGAAAATGCCAATCTTAGAGGAATATTCGTCGACCCTGATTTTATGGAGCTGGTCCTGTTACTTTTTGCTGATGACCTATGTATATTCGACGATTCTGTAATTGGACTTCAAAGAAAAATTGATATTCTACACATCTACTGTCTGACATGGGGAATGGAAGTCAACATGAACAAAACGGAAATCCTTGTCTTTCGGAACGGAGGCTTCTTACGAAATTATGAAAAATGGTATCTACACGGATCACAGATAAAATGCTCAACATATTATAACTATCTCGGAATAATGTTCTCCACTCGACTGTCATGGACTAAATGTACTGAGACACTTACTACTAAAGCCACTAAAGCCCTATTTGCTATCAAACGGGTATCTTATAAATATCCAAATATGTCTGCAAGTGTTCTTTTCAAGCTCTTTGACAGTAAAATAAAGCCAATATTACTTTACGGTGCAGAAGTATGGGGTCACCAAGATAGACAAGCTATTAACAAATTCCACTCTAATTTTTGTAAATTTGTACTAGGTGTAGGTAAGCATGTGTCCAGTAACGCAGTATTAGCAGAATGCGGTAGATATTGTATTAGTATTGACTATCAAATTAAATGTATCCGGTACTGGTGTAAACTATTATGTATGGCTACCGATAGGTACCCCAAGCAATCTTATATTCTTTTGAAAAAGCTTGATGATTGTAGCAGAATTACTTGGGCATCTTATATAAGAATATTGTTAAACACGTATGGATTTGGTTTTGTGTGGGTAAGCCAAGAAGTTGGTAGTGTAAATGATTTTGTATTTATGTTTAAACAAAGACTTGTAGATTCTGCAAAGCAAAATATGTTTAGCAAAATAAATGAATCAGCACATTTATCTTATTACAAATCATTAAAGTCATTACTGGATGTTGAATACTATATTTCTAATGTACATCTAAAGGAATATCGCCGTTATTTATGCTTGTTACGTATTCAACAATTGCCTCTCCTATGTAACGTAAGATATCAAGATGACAGTGGGTTAAGCAAAATATGTAAAATGTGTAACCGCTATAATTTTGAAGATGAATTACATTTTGTACTTGTCTGTGATGCATATGCAAATTTAAGAAGCAAATACCTACCAGAATTTAATTGTCCATCTGTTTTAAGCAAATATCATAAGTTGTTAACATGCAAAGATAAGAATTTACTTATAAAAATTTCATTATTTATTAAACATGCACTATCTAAAAGGAATTCTATCCAATGTTAGAAGAGACATGTATATATATACCTATGTATATGTTGAAACCATATTGTCTATATATCATATACCACTTTGCATTTATTGTACACGGGCCAATGTCCCCTATATACCGAAATAAATTCTTCTTCTCCCTCCACATAAACTCCAGCAAGGCGGAAGTGTCTGGTACGCCATGGTCAGGCCAACTTGTGAAGTGAAAGTGGTGAACGTGATGTATCTTTCCTTCCTGATATTTAGAATTAATAGCATTTCATTTATGTTGAATATAACGTTTTGTCACAAACTACTAAATGTTTATGTCGACATCTTCAAAAAAGATCATTTATAGAGAAGAATTACAAATATTGCAAAAATAATACCGATTTATTGTGAAGAGACAGTTTTGTGACTGTGTAGTTTCTGTCTCCTTGGTAACTGAGATGTCGCCGTAAATGGAAGTTCCTTTCTCTGGCCAGTACTGAAGACACTTCATCTGAAAATATTACAAGATTTAAATACAGGATTTTTACAGGATTAAATATCTCCATTTAAGTTAAACGAGGTGATAAAAATGTCAACACAAAAACTCAATTAGTGTGTGAGATTTCTATATTTGCTATCATTACGGATAAGTATGGATTTGATTCGTTCGTGTCAACCGGTTTCTTTCAACATAATTATTCAGTTGCTGCTGAATATTCAATACCTTTGGGAGAAAAACAAGTTGAATGTGTGAATGATGGTGTGGGAGATGCTATATACATGATGCTCTGTGTGTGTGTGTGTGTGTGTGTGTGTGTGTGTGTGTGTGTGTGTGACCTTCCCCGGCTCTACAAGTCCCGTCACCATGAAAATTGTTGTAGATTGCCCCTGAAAGATCATTCTCCAGAAATCCACCACTACTTCCGGTCTGTAGGGACCTAACAAGAAAGTGAATATAATATAAAACGTGTATGATTAATCCAGAGGTATTCAGAGAAATGAATATAACGTTAAGAATATATCCCAACCCTTGTAGCAGTGGTCACACAAAAAGTGTGAAGCTTTATCAGATGACCCTTGTACATGGGTTTCATTCTTCAAAGTTATATATGCTCAACATCAAAATCAATTTAACGCAATTATTAGAATTTTTGTATTTTCAACGGTCCAATTTGGTCAAAAAGCTGGGGGTTTTAAGTATAAATTAGTTGCTCAAACAAATTTTCGTAACTCCGTTCTATACGTTTGTGCTCCTGTTTCCATTGAGCTGTCATGATAAAATCATGATTACCAAAAAGCAAACGTATTGGACACTATGTTTTAAAAGCATACAGACAACAGGCGTAAATTCAAACTGGGTTTGGATGCACACCAATCACTGTTGTAAAGTTAAAGATAGTCTTAAAACGGAGAGATCCCGAAGTGGAAACACACATGTAACTCAACATTGCGTCATTATCAATAAATGAAAGGAGGGATACATTTGAATGACATTGGTTTTTGGTTTTTGGTTTCATTGGGTGAGCAATTATACAATAGCTGCTTACTTTAGATATCAGTTTGAGGAACCGTTTGTGTGTGTGAAACCTTACCTTGTGCTGCTATGTAACGCTTTTCTGCTTTGTATACCTGAAGAGAATTTACGAAGATATGTATTATTTATATAAATATAGAACGTCACTGCGAGCAAAGCCGTGTATAATAAGTAACATAATACAAGGAAGCTTATTTATAAAGTGATTTGCTGACTATTAAGTGTTCTTTAATGATGCGACTTAATACATTACAGCTATTTTTAATAAGGAAATATGTGCCAGATAATCCAGTGATACCGTCCATGATAAAAGAGCAACGAAATTGGGAGATGAGATGACATGCAATCAATATAATCATCAAGTCGAACAACTCAGTCACAGGAACATATCACATAAACCCTAACTCGAACTATCCATGGGTTTCCGCGTTATCAACCTATAAAGTACATCAAACCTTACACAGTACGCCTAAACAACTAAGAGTATAGGTTAACTTCAAAGGACAAGCTAAAAGATCTAAGCGGCCCATTTTGCAGTTACGCTCAGTGTGTATTCGGTGTCTGATTGACAGTCGTTGCTCAACTCACATCGAGGTAGCTGGCGTTGATGTAGTCTCCGTCTTTGTCGTCACTGACGCGGTGCAGCACCACGCGGTTGTAATCATCTGAATACGAAATACATCGTCGGTTTAGACTTGACACTGAATGACGAAGTGCAACTGACTGAAAACAATTATGTTGTACTATGTCAAAATCGACTCTAGAGTTAAAACTTGATCATCTACAAGATGTACTCACATGGGTAATAGCCTCTGAACCTGTTCTTTCCTTTGTTTTTAGGTTGTTGTGATTCATCATAGGAGTGTACATAACCATCAGGAAGGCGCTGAAAAGGGAAACATGTGACATACACAGGCTAATACTAAACAAATCACTTACTCCAGGTGATTATTATCACCTCCACAGTATGTAGTGTTATCCAAACTAAAACCTGTAAGTTGGAGGCAATTGGCACTAAGTGTAATTGCCTTTGTGTGAAAGTTGGTTGGCTCGAACAGCATTCGCTTGTCACAGTCAAAAATTGGAAAGAGGGAATGCATTATGTAAGTGCTAGATATAATCAGTCTTTCTTGCAGCCACAATTCCCCTTCGGAAAACGAGCATGAAATAGTTTGCTTCCATTATTGTCATTTCAGATGAATTTTATATTTAATGGATGTTTCAAGGAGCTGTTGTCGGGTGGTTTTGTGCGATGCAGCTTTCGTGGTGTATACAAAATGTCATTAAGCAACTTAATTATGTTAAATTCTGTTAATTCTTCCTCGTACGTTGTGACGTTTATAATGTGTTCTCTAGCTTGTGCACGTCATTTTGAGTTTACCTTATATTCTTCTTCTGTACTTGATGGAGTCATTTCTTCCACCTTTTTTGTGTAATTCTGACACAGGAATCACGTGATCCCGTCCCTTGTCGTCCAGGTTGTAGTAGTTTCTGTCAGGGCCCTCTGGTTTGTCCTCAACCTGTGCAGGCTGCTCAGATACGTCATAATCCTCTTCCTCCTCCACTTTCTGAAGGTCAAGGTCAGCTGTTCCGCCTTTACCCGTATCCTTGCTTCCAGTTGTAGATACAGCTTCCCCTGTTGAATTGCCTTCGGATTCGGTCTGCCTATGAGCCTTCATTTGTTTAGCTGATGTCTTCTCTGGAGACAACGTTGGTTTCTCGTCGTTATCAAATCCGATATTCATGTACATGCCAATGTCTTCCGCTACAGGAAACAAAAAAAGGACATTTCCAAAAAGGACAAAAAATAAGATCCATGACATAATGTCGTTATCATATATAGAAGTAGGGATGATCTGTACAGAAGTTACGTGATCTCTAAGAAGCAGATCCATGTGAGAGTCAAGGTACGTCATGCAGTAGTACTATTGAGTATTGTTATAAGAGTGTGTCTTTTTTTGTAATTTGTAAAATCATTGATTAGGTGATAGTTATTATGGGTCACAATGTTTAAAGTTTTGAGTATATCTGCTCTAACTGTAAATGTGAATGTCAAGGTGAGTTGATGTCTTATATTTGTGACCCAATACTTTAGATTTGTGACTCAACTGCATTGTACTAGAAATCTGTATTGTGATTCATTGTAGCTTGCTCATTGTTTGTTCAATATATTATTGAATATTTTAGACTTGTCTGTGTTTTATTTTGCTTGTTCAAGGGGGACTTTTAAACCTTTTGTCACGGCAATTTATTAACCGTAACAGTATACACGATCACTTACGTATGCTACAGCCTCTATATATTACACCAGTCCAAATATTCTTGCATAAATTAAGCAAACGAGAGAGACGAATCTACCTTGTGTCGTTTTCACGTTATCAGGAAACACTGTCTTGTGTGCAGAGCGTCCATGACTTTCCCCCCGTCTTCTTCTAAATGTAAGGACACAAATTGAAATACAGTTTGCATAGAGCAAGGGCTCGTCAATTTGTAATAAGTATGTACTGATTCATTGCCTTTGAAGACATTACAGGGATTAGAATGTATGTAAAAAAACTGACCTGATCATGATGACTGCAAGGACCAGCAGCAGTATCACCACCACGACGACTACAGCTCCCACTACAGCAGCGACTGGAAAAGAGGCGGCTTCAGGCTGCTGACTTGGGGTATGTGTGGCAACTTTCCCTGGATGTAGAATGGAGAAGATTAAAAAATGTTAGCATAGAAGTGCACACGTCTTTCATCACATAAAGCGTGCTTAGTGAAATAATCTTTGTCATTTTAGAAGCCTCTGTATCAAAAGCATGATGTCACACCAACATTAGTGAGTGAGTGAGTGAGTTATAATTTATCCTCACATCGGCAATATTTCAGCCATATCTTGACGAGAACGATTAATTTTATACATAGTAATTATTGGTAAATTGTAAAAACCTGTCAACGAAGGACAGAAAAAATAACTAGATTAACACAGATTCGAATTAAAAACTAGAACTTAGATCTATCACACCAACATTAAATCTGTCATAAATTGAAAGAAAATGTCCTTCTTCATCAGATTACCGTTGTTAGAATTAACATGTGCATGAACAAGTCACTTGCATATTCTTCTTTACAACCACTGTAGAAACATGAATTCGTGTTATGCGTGATGGTATGCTCACACACTCTACGCTGGCTTTAACAGTCAAACCTTTACTCAGATACATGGCGAGACCATGTTTGGGCAGAAATGACACATGTAGAGTGTTCCATTTCGTTTACATGATTATTTATTTCCGTGAATAGGTCTGTGTGTACGACTTCGTATAGGCAGTTGAACGTGTCCTACATTGCCGTGCTCTGACCATTTGTTGAAAGTCTGAAGTCTGACATGAATTGATTGTTTTAACCTGTGTCCCATCCGCTGCTTCCCATCCTTAATGCATTACATGGACTTTAGCATTAACCATCAGTCACATCACAGTCATTACCCTGTTACAAAAACAGTAACACACTCTCGGGACTAGCTCCTCTCCCGTTATAGCAGTAGCTTATGTAGAGTCAACTTATCTCCCCCGTCTCCGATCCATTGTAACCTGCTTGTTGCTTTGCACCCCACATCGACATCTCGTTCTTACCTGTACAGTCATCCCCTGTCCAGCCTGCTTCACATCCACCAACACAGATCCCTGTTGCGTTACAGGAAGAGTTCTTCATACAGTGTCTGGAGCTGCAACTCATGTTGCACTTGTTCCCATAATGTTGGGAATCACATTCTGGAATAAGATGATTAAACAATTCATATTTCATTTCATGTGTTATTCATTACCTATCAATCATCACATTCATGAAGCGACACATACAAACCTGAGTACATTGAATTTTTCCGTCTTGATGCCATGATCCATTAGATTTGGTAACTTTATCTGATATTCTGCAGTCATTCCAAGGTTGTGTAACATTGCTCAATTCTTGATTTTAATGTTCTGATGATTTAAAGTGACACACAACTAGCTTCGGAATCTTAATGCCCAAAGTCTTTGCGATCAGTACTTGCATATTACAGATAAACAATTTATCGAGTGTTGTTTTGCCGACCTCAGTCAGGCCTACAATGTAACAATATCAATCAATATTATCTGTGTGATGTTCTTCCTTCCTCAACAAATTAAATTATGACTAGGCTATAAATTTAAAATTCATTGTAGCATTTCCTTTTCACATTGGCATGTTTGCTTTTTATTCTTACAATATACGTTGACATCGTATCCAGTTTCTCTTCAGACAAAGCAAAAGTAAGTTTGTCACTATCACAGATGTTTCTTCATGTTTCGCATGGCCTGTACATTCTATGACTGACTGACTGACCCGCTCTTAGCAATATTCCATGTGGGGATTCGAACCCGGGTCTTCGGCGTGACGAGCCAACGCTTTAACCGCTAGGCTACCCCACCGCCCCGTACATATTATGAAAGTTATGATTGTGGAAGGTGTCTCTCATCTCTCACAGTGGCTTCAACCAGTCATATTTATTGTCACCCACGTTAGTGAACCTCATTGGTGGCATTACCTGTACAATCAGGATACATCCACCCTGTCAGACATCCACTGTCACAGGTCCCTGTTGAGTTACAGGAAGAGTTACCATCACAGTTTCTGGAGGAGCATATCTTAAGACAGTTGGATCCATAATGTTTGGAATCACATTCTGAAATATGATACCGATGATTTAATGGCGGCTTTTGTATGTGTAAGGAACATTGTTCATAAGAGAGTTGAAAGATCTTTAGATTAGGTTTATTTCATATGCACTTACCAATAATTCATTTCCAAGACTCACCTTCTTTACAATCGACACCCACCCATCCAGCTTTACATCCAGAATCACATGACCCAGTCACATGATCACATGATGAATTTCCCGCGCAGTGTCTGTCAGAGCAAAGACTAGTACAGTTTGCGCCGTACTTTCCACTGGAACATTCTGTAACAACGAAATGGAGAGCTTACATCGTGTTTTATAGTTGCATGTGAATATACAGGCTTTCTTAATAACTGATGTATTTTTTTTCGACCAAAAGGTGTATTTAAAGGCAAAGTACAGAAAAATATCACATACAAATAGGTACGCTATGACATAAGATAAATTGGATATAACATTTTCATTAATTATTATCGAGATATCTGTATGTTAATGACAACGTATATTTTTCACCTCTTGTGCATCGAGCCAAATTCGACAAGCTTGTACACTTTTGCTTTTACTCACATAAACCATCATGTTAGCCTAGAGAGCTACCAGAATTTTATTCGTAATAGACTTTTGCAATATATGTGGCTTTTTCATGTTTCAAAGTCGTTTAGTTATGATGATATAATGTGTTCACTCGCATCAATGCTGATGTATTTTCCTTCCAAGTTATAATTGTTGCAATCGGACAGCCTCCTTTCTCTCCCTTCCACGTAACTTGATCTTTCATTATCATTAAACTGTCAACATTCTTTACCTTGTGTGCAGTTAACCTCCATCCACCCAGAAAGACATCCTGTGTCACATGCTCCAGTGTGACGGTCACATGACGAATTTGAAGCTGACACTTCCGCCCAGCACATATCTCGTTGCAGTTAATGCCATAGGTAGTGCTGTTGCAAGCTGTAAAATATGGACAAGCATCAAGTTCATAAAGTTGAGAAACATTTGAGTAAAGCTTCCCGGGTAATCGTGTCAGCAAACTGTATGAAACAAGTATATATGTGAGGTCGATCACCACTTAACATGTCCCTACAAACGAGCCCACAGTATGACGTCCACAAAGCTCGAATCCTGTTATTCTTTTGCACTTCTTCAAAATGTTCTATGACTGTTAAAACACGATTCACTGTGTATATATATTGTGTACATACTGTGAATATGTGAAAGCGCCAGGGAACAGTCAAACTGGAACCTTCCTCTCTATACAAAATGACTAGATTAGATTAGACGATTAATGATTAACCTAAGGACACAGTCAACATGCCTTGTATGCCTTGGCCTGTACAGTCTCCAGTACCACTGACAGGTGCCTATCAATGCTGATAGTACAAACGTCTTACCTGTATCACATCTCTGTCCCTGCCACCCTGATCTACAGTCTCCAGGACACAATCCAGTCCACCGATCACAGGTTGAATCCAGGCAGTGACAGAACTTATCACAGTTCACCCCGTAGACACCTTCACTGCAGACTAGTGCATAACAAGACGAGTGTTTATATAAGAGTACTAACTTGTAGCCATGAATATTTGGAATTTGTGTGAACATCGAATTGATGAACGGCCGACATTATTATATTTACCTATCAGTGATAGCTGCAGCTTTTGGCATCTTACGATGGTTGATAGAAATAGAAAATGTGCTGTTACATTTACATCGCATAATTTTCAACATTTCCCAACCGTAATACCAACAAATGCAACATAGTCAAATATAAACTGGTCCCCTCAATACACTGCCATTTGTCGGTCCATGCAGGAAGCAAATGTACTGTAAGTCCCCATGGTCCCTAGTATGGTGATCTACCTTCAGTTGTTGGCAATATATAGCCGGTTTTTACCTTGAATTGTCCTATAGTTAGACTGTTTTAGATTTGATTGCTAGTTTTAAATTCGAATCTGTGATAATCTAGTTATTTTACTGTCCTTCGTTGACAGGTTTTTATAGTTGCCCTTGCTTATTATGCATAAAATTAATTGTTCTCGTCACGATATGGCTGAAATATTGCCGATGTGACGTTAAATTTTAACTCACTCACTCACTCACACTGCCATTTGTCAAGTATTTTGTGGGAGGGAATCTGAAAACAATATTTTTTATAAGCAATACGACATTTGACGCGCTGATGCTCAAGAAACATTTGGATATTTCTTAGCCTTAAAGCTATAGTCTAAATCTGTTACCAAAAGGGTCGCGCTCTGAGATCAAGTGTATCTGCCTTCGGTCCAATGTTACCATTGTAGACCAGAACCAGATTGTGAGTTCCATAGCAAAGTCCATAGATAATTACATGTAACATTACAGGTTAGAAATGGAGTCATTTCTTTCTTTGTGGCAATGCAAATGTGCATTTAGTCGAAGTAAGAGAATTTCCCCAGAGAACATTAACCAGTCTAATCTTCTGACAAAACATACTCCACTGAGCGTAAAACGTTAATTGACAAGTTCAGAACACTTACTATAGCACTGTGTAGCTCAGTAATGGCATCATGTATTAGCGGAAGGGGTAAGCATTTCCTGCCCTACCGAAGGCACCTATCTATCTGTTGTGAATGATGTGGCTGGTGACTAACAAAACAGTGAAGCAGTTGGTTGAATCTATCGGACAACTTGCACAATTGTTCAGTTATAACAACTGCAGTTCATTTCATATGATACAGCTTCCAAAACACTGACACAAAAATCTGGCACAAACTCCAACAAAAATTGGACATTTGCTGTGTATATTCCATACAATATGACATTTTCGACCCGTGAAGATCCGGTTAGAATTGGTCTTCAGTAACCCATGCTTGTTGCAAGAGGCGACTAACGGGAACGGGTGGTCAGGCTCAATGACTTGGTTGACACATGTCATTGTATCCCAATAGCGTAGATCCATTCTCATGACTTTGGTCACTGGATTGTCTGGTACAGACCGCTGCCCAATAGCTTGAATATTGCTGAGTGAGGTGTAAAACACCAACAAAAATTAAACCAAACAAGATGTTTTCAAAAATTCCTAATGCAGATTACTTAATAAGCCTTCCCCCCGTCAGGCACAAGAAGCATGAACTTGCTTAAAGAAATATTATTGCATTATTGCAAATAAATTTTGCATCTCGTTAGATATGAATGCATTGTCGACTAGAAAAGACCGAGCTTCAAATACCCACTTATAGATAGATGAATACATCCAATCAATACTTTCACAATGTGTTTGATGAAGCTTCTCAAATATTGAGACAAAGATCAGGGTCATACAAAGCCTTCTTAGCTCTACGACATTCGTAAGCTAATGATGAACTGTAAAGTTACGAAAGGTTACACATGATTTAAGGATAATACACATACTTAATACAATAAAGGACTTACCATAGATCTCCACCTCACATATGTTCAGTGCACTAGCATAGCCATCACTTCCTCCATCCCCCCGGGTTCTTGATGGTGACGTTTCTGCCGGTACCGTTACATGCCACGTCAGTTGGGTTGAGAGTATTTGGTGGACTCGGGAGGGTGGAGCACATGGCGGAGGTGTCGTTGTTCAGGTAGATGTTAGAATCGGCGTTTCTATAGTAGACTGGAAAACAAAGATGTTTTATTCTACGTTACATAATAATACTTTGTCAATATAGTTGCTGTTAGCTCATATTTCAGATCACAAACCTATGTTCATGTAATGGAATAATACCGTAATTGAGAGAAGACACGTCCAATTAAAAGTATATGCTTTACAGCGGATGGGGATTAGAATACTCACTTCAAAACTCCCGATCGTTTGCAAAAAAATAACAGTTCACTGATGGTCAATATTCTTCTGGCACATATTATGTACCAAATCCCTTTTAAATTTGCGATTTCTGCACTGAAACAGATATATTTATTGTACCCAGCAGTAAACGTCCTGATTCTCAAATGTATTAATAGTATTACGTTAATCACTAAACCCTCCGTAACTCAGTAACTCATATGTGTGTGTTTGCAATAAGTATCAGGCACAACCAAGACACAACCATATTATATGAAGGGAAGCAATTTAACTACTGGAATAAAGTAACTGTGCATCATTTGATGTTATGCCATTTTAATGCAAAAAATAGTACTATGATCTGTGATGTTTTCCTGAATAACCATTTAACTGTTGACAGACTATCGAAATGTGTATGATTTGACACTAAGCATCGTGACACGCCCTCGAAGAGATGTGGTGTCAAATGACTGTTCACAAATGCAGCATTGTGTGTGTCCACCATCGGTGTTGATGCAGGCTTGACAACGACGACGCATAGACGAAACTAAGCGATTAAAGAAAGCTTGGAGAATGTTGTTCCATGTCTGAACCCGCTTGTTCCAATTCAGCTAACGTCAGAGACCCAATGATCTCATCCCTGTATCGCAGACCTGTCATATTGCCATTGACAAGTTGTGTGCGACCATGAGATGCGTTACCACCAATATCATAACGCTTTCGCACAAAAACTCGAAGTCGAAAGTCGCATGCGTCAACATACCGTTCATCTCGCCGTCCGTACACCCTTGCCCTGCCATCTGAGCTTCCCAGATGAAATCTCAACTCGTCAGTGAACAAAACACAATATCAATCTCCTGTACTGTGAGATGCTGTCTGTACCTGGCAAGACGCGCATGTCGGTGACGCTGGAGCAAAATTGGACGTATCGCAGGCCGCCGGGGTAGGATGTTATGGTCTCTCAGTCGGTACTTCAGGCCTGGACCTGATTGGACGTAAGCCAGGAATGGTCTAAGCAGACAAAATGGCTGTCTGGAATCGATTCAGGTCAGCCGAATATGGTTGTTTTGCTGACGTGAGAATACGTGTGCATCTCTCCTGTTCCCATTATGTTGAAAACGTCTCTATATAGCATACCCACGGCGCGGAGACGCTGATTTTCTGTAAGCCGTGACGTGACGTACGCGCAGTTTAGGTTGCAATTAACGAGTTTTCCAAAGCATTCAGAGGCTGTAGAATAATCAACCGGCGTTCAATTTTCAACTTTTCAAAAGTGAGTAAGCTCATTGTGCACAAAGTGCACGTGCCACATGACGCATTACATTGGCATCACATTTCATGCAAAGTGCTTTGCTACATGTTTATTTAGGGTTATTTCATAATTTTTCAAATAACTTTATCTTATGCAATTTTATGTTATGCACAGTTATTTTTTCCCGTTAGTATATATGTATGTATACCACAACTCCAATAAATAATCACGGTATAGAATCTACAAAGCAGGCTTAACACATACTGTCTGGTCCTGATACAGCATAGTTACCAACCCAAAGTGATAACCTATATTTATTCCATTCATGTCTTGTTTGGTACACTTGATAATATTATCGACTGTAAGTAGGCTAAATGTAAGAACTACTATTGCTGGTATTGAAATTAGCTTAAATCAGCGGAATGGCCCTGGATTTTGTAGAGGATGTAAATTAATCTTGAAACTGTATAGCGATAATAGGATTGATTTAAATGCGTTTGCATAACACTCGTTCATGTATATTAGATGATGGTGCCCCACCGTTATAACCAAAAATGCCATATTTTGTAGTTGGTGACAGAGTAATACAAACCTAATGCATATTTACGTCCTTCTGTTACCCAGTATTCAATTGTTATATACACCTCGAGACGGAATTGTTTTGGAGCCAATTCATTGATGTGGAACGTTTAATATGTTGATATAAATGGTATATATAAAGCATCTGACATCTGCCCCAGTAGGTGAACTGGGGTGTAGGTGAAATGTGTGTGTAGGGGTTATGGGTGTAAACCGTATGAAATACTAGAAGTGAGCAGATACAGATAAGTGGAGATATCACTCGTTGAGGTATATTAGGTGATGGGGTGGTACTGTTTTGCTTTGGTTTCATCACAAGTGTATAATGAAAATATGCCTCGTCAGATAGAGCAATATCAGCCTGTTGTTAATATCTGTGTTAGATCATGTTTCCTGGATACCTACATCCACCTCTACTGTAGATCCTGATGTCATACAGCTGGAAGTCCCGGCCAAGATCCACTGTCCAGTCTGACGGAGATCCACCAGCGTGGAAACAGGTTCTTCCCTCACCACCAGTGTCACTGTCTCCATCCACAGCATTTGATGCGGGCCACCCTACGTACGCTTCAGGTGTTGTTGATGTTGTCTTGCTCAGTGCAATGTTTCCTATGTGGTTCAAGAATCATGCCATACACATGCATCCATATAGACCCCAGTACGTGCAAATACTGAAAAGGTTCACAGGGTTTACATGTATGGTGACAGTCGGATTCAAGTTGATGGTGTAATGACAACCACAACTCGACAACATATCTATTAATGTTATATACGGTGTGAGTTAAGGGAGAATCATGCATTTTATAATGGCTTGTACCAAGAGGCAGGTTTAACACCGAACAAAGGGGAATAATTAACAAATCCATATGTTAGCGTTAAATGCATGTGTCACTCACTTGTCTGGCAAAGACCTCCTTCCTTTGTCCACCCCCTATCACAAGAACCAGAACAGGCACCTGTAGTCTTGTCACATGATGTCCCGCAGTGACAGGAGTAGCTACAGGACTCTCCAAACTTTCCTGCCTGACAGGAACCTGTGGGGGGATACAGAAAGGTAGGATTCAACACTGAAAGGAGTATTGACAGTCTCCAAACTGTCAAAGTGGGCTATATTGCTTGATATGTGAGATCTTCCTGTTATGAGTGAGTGAGTTAAGATTTAAGTCACATCGGCAATATTTCATCCATGTAGTGACTAAAAACAGGTTTACTTTTATAATAAATATAGGTAAATTATAAAAGGCCTGTCAGCGAAGGACAGTAAAAACAAGTAGAATCTCACAGTTATGAATATAAAACAAGTATCTAAATCTAAAATAATTAGTTACAGAAGATAATACAATATAAAAAACAGACTAAAGATGGTCAACATCTGAAGGTAGATCACCATACTAGGTCTGTTGGTTATGATATCTGTATAATCGATTATTCCAAATAAGGGATGAATTAGGAATTTTCAGAGTAACTAATTATTACAGGGGAGTAATGCCTTCTGATGCTCATTTCAACTGGTATCAGTGACACAAACGTTCATGGATATTTTGATTGCATAAGTATACCCTCTCACTTAGACAACCAGTTTGTCATCCACATTACCCATTATTTCCGAGAAGATGTTTACATATACATAGGTATGCGTAGATTAATAACATTGTTCATATTGTATATGAACTACGACTAGTGAAGGTTTGACTGCGACTGGAAACATGCAAGGCATAAGACGTTTTTACATTACCCATTATTTCCCAACAGATGTTACATGTACATAGGTATGCATAGATACACAGTATTGTTCATGCTGTGTATTAACAACGGCTAGTGCAGGTTTGACTGTATCTAATAACCTGCAAAGCATAAGTCATTTTACATTACATTTGAATATTGAGCCTCAAAGTCTAAAAATAGTGTGTGGAAAGAGGATCAAAATGCAAAGAATTTGGACTGATTATTGTTTGTAAAAGCAATAAATTTGCATGACTGATAGTAACTTAATATTTCTTTTTGGGCGCATTAAAATTGGGTTTTTCTCCTTTCTGCTCATAGTGTACATATTTGGTTTCACCATTAAACAGATGGCATTAAGTGGGTTATTATTTCTCCCGTTGAAACCAAAAATAATATTTTCTGGTGTTGAATTAATGTATTTTTCAGCTAATTGTTTCAGCCACTTAGTCAACTCTTTCCACACTTCGCTTGAATAAATACAATCACACAATAAATGTATAACACTCTCAGGCACCTGGTTACAAAATGAACACACGGGTGAATCAATATATCCAATCTCATGCAAGTCAATATTAGTTGTCAAAATATTCTGAGTTATCTTGTACTGAAACCATTCTAATTTAACGCTTTGAGTACATCGATTAGCCACCAAATTAGTATTTCCCATTCGTTCTGTCGGAAATGTCTGTCCAATGTTTCTTCCCATTTTAATTGTTCATTTGTTTTATTAAACCAAAATTGGCATTGTGTTTCATAAAAAAAATGTTTACTATTAGCTTTTTTGAAAATGCTAAAAGGAAAAAAAGTAGGGTAGGCAAGTATGTTTACCACATGTTTAAAAGTGACATTTCTCTTTTTTAATATATTCAAAGATTGCTCTTTTAAGACCTCGGTATGTAAGAAAATCAACAGCTATATCATATTTCTTCCAAAGTCAGTACATTACCGTCGTCATTTACTTTATTTCTCAAGTATGTCCTTTTCTTCCATATTGCTGTGATAGATGTTCTGCAACTAATCAAACTATTGTGCCAGAGTGATGGATTTACTATGAGCTGCATGCTTATAACAAATTGTTAGATAGTCAGACCATGCCTCCACAACATCCCTTCAGAATCTATTTGGAATAGCATACATTTGCTAATATAAACACCATTGAAACCTTGAGTTCCATATTCAGCAGCGGTAGTAGCAACCTTTGTTTTGATTTTGTCGTTCTTACCCTTCCAATTAAAATCAAAGCATTTCTTCTGAAAAGATTGAATCATATCATGTGGTGGACTTGGTATAGATGAGAAGAGATGGTTTAATTTTGACAGTAATAAGGATTTCAAGACAACATTTCTTCCCATAGGTGTTAAAAATCTCGATTCTCAAATGTTCATATCTCTCTCAATTTTCCTAAGCTTGTCAGAATAATTAATGATTACCATAGATTCTAGATCTATCAAGATCTAACATCAACATCAACTTTGATACCTAACAGATGAAATTATGATTGTAATCAATCTAGATTGATAGCTCGTATCGTGACCTTTTTGGGGATCCTATCCATATTAGTCTTGTAAAGATATAGATATACAGAATTGGTATGCAAAAATCACTTCTTCATCATTCTTAAATCATTACTCGTCATATAAATCTGTACTTGAACCGGAAAAATATATATCAGAGTTTTGCTATGATAAAGATTTCTTACGAGTTGTATTTAAATTCAGATGCATGAGTCATAAACTTAAAATTCAACACAACCGTTTTAATAAGGTAAATGCTGATTCCATTAAATGTGATAAATGTATTTGTAATTTGATACAAGATGAGTATCATTTCTTACTCGTATGTCCATTTTATTCACAACAACGCTCTTTGTACATTCCTGATTTTTACATTATATCTCCAACCAGATCAAAGTTTACCCAGCTGCTTGCAACAAGGAATGTAAAACTCCTAAAAAATATTGCAATTTATCTTAAACTATATTTACCTGTATATATTGTAAATTGTTCTCCTGACCATGTGCTATATTGAATTGTACTTTTGTTCATGTGGCCATAAATACTGAATAAAGCTCTTCTTCTTCTTCTTGTCTTGTCAGTATTAACTTGCAGTTCAGAAACCTTGCAAAACAGTTAAGACATTAGGAACTGCATAGAGACCTTTCTCAGTATCATCTAATGTTAATGAAGTATCATCTGTAACCTGAGCTAAAAGGCTTTCAACAATTCCCATCTTAATACCCTTTGTCCTCTTATCTTTTCTTATCATAATTGCTCAGATTCCTACACATAGGATGAATATATATGGCGAGACCGGATCCCCTTGTCTGCATCTTCTAGTAATCTTGAACAAAGGGCTTCCGAAATGATTTACAAGAACGCATGATTCTATATCATGTAGGAGAATTGAAATCCATGTTTGTGCTTTTGGGGTTGAGTCCCATCCGGGATTCGAACCCACACCTTCAGAGTCAGGCACCTAATCGCCAGCACACAAAGTCAGCCACCTAACCCGCTCAGCCACCGAGACTTCCACCGCGTGGGACTCAACCAAAAAGTACTAGAATTTGTACTTTACTCAGAAAGTGTAATCCCAAATATAACACATGTTACATTTGACTACTTTCTAAATGACATTGTGTAATCATGGATTAAATTGATCTCGTCAAAATAAGGCTACAATATTGCCGATGTGACGCTATGTTGTCAGTTGGTAAAAAGCACGGATGAATATTTATTGCTGTGAGGTCAATTGTTTGGAAAGGTTAATAGAATACCCCAGTGAAAACGATTCATTAGTCTCATCGCATAATCCATGTACATCTTGCTCTTTCCTCTCGATTCCAGTGATATCTATTAAGCTTTTAAGCACACACTTCACACAACAGTGACTTATACGCGAAGTTTATAACAGATTAGAAATACAACTTTTTCCTTCCATATGTAATATATTGAAGTTGGGATAATCCATTTTCATCTTGCTCTTTCCTCTCGACTACAGTTACATATTTTAAGCTTTGTACGAAGCAAACGCTTCACACAACAGTCAGTTATACTCGAGGTTTATAACACGTGTTTTACTGGTATTGTCCCGTTAGCTTAGATGCACACGCAAATAGTGGACGGGTTCTGCTATATATAACACACAAACGTGTATGCAACATGCTCGTCTCAGTATATATATACACAATATATTATTTGTAGTGATGTACAAATCCGCGAGGAAGGTACGTATACTTCGACGTAAGACAATCGGCTGATGTACTCACCCGATGTCAACTGTATCCATTGAAGCAAGACCACTACAACGAATATCCTGACACCCGCCATGTTGAGCAACCAGGAAGTGAAATACGCAGTCAAACTGTGTTAAAGGTCACGCTCACTGAATATCCACTGTGTCGTGTATGAGTAAATGTATCTAAATTTATCTTTTGGAGCCATGATAGGGGACTACAGTCGATAACAACGCCAGTAACACACAACAGATTGTCACAGACGTTTAATAAGATTGTTAAACGACACATATCACGTATATGTGAACAATGTGTTCAGCTTTCACATCCGTTATCCATGTCACATTTGCTCATATTCAGGTACATCCTTTTCAGAAGGGATTAAATTAGATACATGTTGTGGGCAGGTATGTAGCCAGGCACAGAGATACCGGTTTTATCCTGCTGTATATTGGAAAAGAGTTGAGTGAAATATCAACAGCTCGCACTCACTACATTCTCCTCCTATGCACGCATGTGACTCACTGACCCGTTGTAAGGTTGGGTCCCAACAGAGCTTGCAGGGTATCTTCCATCTGGGTCACATGCGGTCAGCCATGACGATGCATCAGCCCTGGTCTGGGTAGAGGGACTTCAGGAGAAGTGTTCTATGCAGGAATATAGTGAGACGCAGGGCTTTGATCAATGTTGAGTAAAGTGTCAACACGTCACACTCACTACTTTTCCTCCTACACATGCATGTGACTCACGGTCCCGTTGTCAGGATGACATCCCAACACTGTTTACAGGGTAGCTTCCATCTAGGTCACGAGCGGCCAACCCTAACAACGAATAAATGAGGACTTAGAAATAGTATTTACACAAACTCGTAACACAATGCTGTATATCTATTTTGATGTTATGTATGTCGTGGCGTATTTAAATTAAATGTATTGTATTACTTTTTACTTTCATCAAACACGACATATTGTTTTTTTTTGTGGAGATTGCTGTGGCTGAGTGAGTTAGATTGCATTACTGGGAGAGTGTGGGTTCGAATCCCTGTGGAAAACACTAGAACCTGTGCTTTTCTGAGAAAGTGTATTCCCATATGTTTCATTTAACCACCACATTGAATGGCATTGTACACTTCCTGAGGTTCATGAGTTCTCCTCTGTGTGTTGATATTGTTTGCCGTGTGGGGCACTTACATGACACTCACATGACAAGCCTTACAGTGACATGAAACCTGTTGGACAGGGATACCTATGACAGGACATGTTCACCTTTTGCTAACACCTTGTGTCATCACCTGGTGGTCCGTTCTTAATTTACCCAGCTCTGTTAGCCTTTACACAATATGGAATCTGTAATAGTCAGTATAGGGTATTCGTTTGCGCTGCTGCTGTATATTTACAAGAAGGTTATATCCTTCCGTTTTCCGCTAAACTCACTTTGAGCCAAAGCCGCTTTAGGAAAGTAACGATACAGATGGATATACTGACTCTGGCAATTAAATGTTTGGTAACATGTTTCTATTACTTCCAGCTTACTGACATCCGGTTCGAAAAGAAAAAAGAAAAAAGCAGTGTATATTCTACTTCTCTTGCAATTTAAGTCCCCTTGCTCTTTGCACACCAACACGTTACAGACATGCATGTATTTGTGTACTGGTAGCTTAAACGAGAAAGTCCGATTCCATTTCCAGAGGAAGAGACAAAAGATAACCCAGATAAATTCACTGACCCTGAGTGGCGCCCGGAAATGATGTCTCTGTGTATCCATGCAATGAAGTCAAAGATTATATACATATAGAAGTAAGCTACAAGAAGCTATCTCACACACACACGCGCACACTCACTCACTCACTCACTCACTCACTCACTCACACACTCACGATCGACTACAAGTTCTTAAATATCAAATGGCGACGTTTTGGTATTTATCCTAATACCCTTATAAGGATTGCAAACTATTCGCACAAACGTCGCCCGAGGGATATCAAAGACCTTGTGGGGCGGCGGGGTAGCCTAGTGGTTAAAGCGTCCGCTCGTCACGCCGAAGACCCGGGTTCGAATGCCTACATGGGTACAATGTGTGAAGCCTATTTCTGGTGTCCTCCGCTGTGATATTGCTGTAATATTGCCAAAAGCGGCGTAAAGCCAAACTCACTCACTCAAAGAACTTGTAGTCTATGCAATGACTATTACTATTTTGTCATTACGCAACTTCTAAAGATCTCTATCAAACAATTCACCTCTCACAAACATATGTTCACACAGAAGTTAGGAATGACCGTTCCTCTAGGGTCAGTCCAAACTTTACAACATCAGAGTCCAACAATGACTATGATATGTATAGAAGATGACTCACTGACTGAGTTTGGTTTTACGCCGCTTTTAGCACCTTTAGGCATCTGACAACACATACTTGCATATCTGTCATATTGGAAGGGACTTTTGCTTCCAATGGGGCGACTACATACATCTGTACGTTCTCTGATGTTAAAAAAATATATTTACATTGGGAAATTAAACTTATTCACATATTGTATGACATGTCCAGTGTGCCCAGCTGGTACCTATTGTGTGGATTGCAACAACGCCTGTGGTAAATGTGGTAACAACAGCTTGGGCCACAACGAGACCGGAAGTTGTCCAGATGGATGCGAGGCAGGATGGCAGCTGGATCCGTGAAAAGACGGTGGGTTAAGATGACGCACAACTCACAGTCTTGTTTTAAACTGCAAAGATGGTTTTGTTGTTAAAACCGAACTTGTCAGAAAAGGCGACATCAATGTTTAGGTCATCTCATTGCATTGTAGAAATGGATTTAGCGGACCTAGTTGCCAAAGCGTCAGTGGTAGAATACACCGTGACGTTAATCATTGTAATATTGTCTGCAGTTTGTCTTGTTGAGTCATCAATATTTATTATTGAAATATTATACATAATATAGCCCAGGTTGAGACTTACCAAATGTATTCGTAGGTTTAAAATGGAGTTAAAGGTCTGTAAAATTATTGTCCTCCTGAGAGGGTACGTGAGTCCCAAAACTTTTAAAGTCAATTGTTGTTTTTTTTTAATCGTAGTATATCTGTAGTTTTAAGAAATCGCTAACCCTCAATACAATCGCCAGCGGCTGAAGGATGACCAGTGTAAATCCAGCTAGGGTCATTGCAGATAGCAAAAGAACTTTAAGTTTCCATGGTCCCTAGAATGGTGATCTACCTTCAGTTGCTGGTGATATTCAGCCCGTTTCTATATTGTATTGTCCAGATTGAAATCCAATTTTAGAGATAGATTCTCATTTAATTCTTGTTTCTAGTTGTTTTTTTTTATCGTCCTTCGTCGACCGGTTTCTATAATTTAACAGCATTTATCATGTATTTATAACTAGTTTTAGCCACGCTATGGCTGAAATACTGCCAATGTGATTATAAACTTTAACTCTCTCACTCACTCTTCTTGGTGACATAAGAGACAAATCTAAATGACGTCATTTGAAAGTTGTCTCACTAACAACATTCTGATTGAATCATTTGGAAGAGCCAATCTGATTTACATTTTCAGAATCAAAGAAGAAACTTCACAACAAAATGACCCATTCGTTTACAAAGATAACCGGTTTAGGTGTTCTCGTTGGTGGGCTTGTCGGAGTGGCGCTGACACTTATCTTAGCGTTTGGGGTGTATCTGTGTTTACATTGTAGACCATGCAGGTAGGTGTACAATAAAGCGATGACTATTCATATTTAAACATAAACTTGTATGTGCGAATTAAAATATATTGAATGTAACGTTAACATTTGTTTGTTCTGTTAACACGCTGTACAGGAATCACAGGTCTGTGAAGGAAGAGGAGACTAAAGACACAGATAAATCGCTGACTAAAGACACAGAAAACTCGCTGACCATAAACAAGAGAATCGAGACCTGTGTCTTGAACATTATGAATGCAATTACTGACAGGCATTAGGACTTCAATAATCCTCCGGGAACTGACGAAATGTTTCAAAATGACAAACCATACATTCTATGTTGAGGAATAGCTATTTCTCCGCTCAGTGATCGATAATAGTATAGTCAGAGTGTATTTCTATGCTATGCTTTGCTTCTGTGAATGCTTCATTTAGATAGTATCGTTTCTCTGACTGGAACCACTAAGTGTCATTTATTCTCTTGCTGCATGCACTCCATTATAAGGCACAGTGCTAGTTTTGATACCATGGCAAGAGGAGATCCAGCGATGTTGAGGCCAGGACAAGACCACTAAGCGAAGTGCTTCAAATCCTATACCCTTCCTATTAACTGTGTGTTTTAATGTTTTTGTATAATATATGGGTACTATGATGGATGAAGCGTTTGCTCGTCACGAGGACACGGGTTCGATTCCGTTCTCTTGCTTTAAACTCTCACATAGGTTACAATGTATCGGAGCATCGCATTGCTACCAACCGCGTTGTTTTGTCGGCTGTTAAATTGTCAATCTTATTTCACAGTGTTGCCCTTAAAGGACACGGATCCAGTACACTATATTTTATCACTTGAAGTACAGACCTCTATCTTCTTTCCGATCCTGAGTCATTGTGATTATCTAGACAATGTACAGAAATCCGATTCTTAATACAGATAGCAACTTGAAGTGTAATAAGTAACTAATCATTGTATATTTAAATACCAATTACTCAGACGAATAATTGTATTTTACAGGAAACACTATCTAAATGGACAAAAGTTATGGATACAATGGTTGAAAATCTAGCAGCAGTGTTTGCATGCCATATACAATAAACATCTGTAAGATTTCAAAAGATTTGTGAAATATTAAACAGGCAACCTCGATGGATGTTATGTTTGTATTTACTGTAAAAAAATAAACGTTCTTTCCTTGTCAAACAAAAGACATAATGGATACAAAAATGAGATTTTATTCAAGTTAATGTGCTGACACAGTACAAATCAACGTGACATTCTGTGGAACTAGTAGAAATCAATGTGAAATTCTGTGGAACTAATACAAATCAATGTGAAATAATGTAGAACAAGTACAAATCGTCCGTACTGATTTGATTTTGGGGTAAATTGTGTCACCTTCACCGCATGATTGGTGCTATATCATGTTAGATACATGTAAGCGGGTTTTCCATGTAATCAAGACACTCAACCAATTGTTCCTGAATTGAAAATGATGTTTATGGTTCAATAACAAAGGTCGTCATATTATCGGTATTTATGTTCGAGGCAATGCTGGTAATTCATTCCTACGATTCATTTCAAGGCATTGTCACTGAATAATAAGGAAAGTGTTCACTAATAGATATATATTGGTGTCGCTTTTATGGGACTGAATAATATGGTAATAGGTTCGTTCTTTTCGTAGGTGTGATGTTGTCCTTTGGGACTGTCTGGTGTTGAGTTCAGATGTTGGCATAGGTATTTGAAGGATCTGTTCTCAGAATACACTGCAGGGCAAAGTCATGAAACATCTGCACATCATTCTGGAAAAAACAAAACAAAATCAGGACATTGAAAGAAGTTTGATCCCCAAGACAGCTTACGCGTTTCCTCGATGGAAATGATTCATATTGGATCAGTGATGGTTTTGATGGCCATAGACAACATCACATTTCACCACGATTAGAGACAATGTCAAAGGCTATATCGCATTACGCCATGAGTACCCATAGTGTCGTACAAGCCTTCAACATTAGTTATGGCAAGGATACAAAAATCACTGTCAACAAATTTGGAACAGTCTGGGACTTAGAAAATCTAATATTAATTTCTATTTTCGACAGACAGTATGTAAACGGCACCCAAAATTCTGATTCTGTTCTTTTTTCTATTTGTTTGTGGAGCGTTGGGATAGCCTAGGGGTTAAAGTGTTTTCGTGACAAGCCGAAGACCCGGGTTCGATTCCCCACATGGGTACAATGTGTGATGCCCATTTCTGGTGTCACCCGCCTTGATATTGCTGAAAGACGGTGTAAAACTAAAACCTCACTCACTCACTCTGTTTGTTTGGTTTGTTCAAAATGTTTTGAATTGATCATCTTAGGTTATTCGATAGTACCGCTCATTTAATAAATATTACTGATATTACCAATGCCACGTCATCGTCAGAGATACTGGTTGTTATATGTTGTCCGCATTATGTTTGCAGATATATAATAGAACCAACGTCGATAGACTCAGAAAAAAAACAAATGTTGGAAAGAATGGCAAGGGAGAATAATTTTGAAATATGTCAGATGTGATTTAGATCATATTATATTGTGACTGATGATCTATGGTAAATAGAACTATATTGTCCCTACCTCGTTGAACTGAAGGTCAGGGCAACATCTGAGGAATGTTCTCACATGGCCGATGACGTCAACACAAGTGTCCTCACGAATACCGGAGAGAATATTCCCCATAATGCAGAAAGAGACGGCAAGCTTTCTGTCGGTTTCACTGCAATATAATAATTTCAGTAAATTAGTTACTGGCTTTTACATACAATTCCTTCATCACAAAACATTTTTTCCAATAAAGTGACAATTTTACCTGTGAAGAACAACAACTGGGTGAGTCTGTGTTGATATTTCTTGCAGTTGGGGGTGATTCAACAAATAGGATGTCACAATTTCTGTAGTCAAGTGTGCATTAACTCTGATCATCTTCACCTGGCGAGGCCTGTCTGTCTGTGTACACAAATATTTATCTATTATTGGCCATTCATGAATGCAGTAATAATACTAATAATAATAATGACCTCAGCCTCATGGTGTCTGCCATGTAATTTATTGAAAGAGATATTTAAAAAAAACAAAACAAAAAAACAACTTACTAAGCCAAACCAAACTAAGTATAAAATTAACAGAGGCCAGTTCTCTTATCCTTAATGTTATATCTTCTTTCATTAGTTTGTCATACTTGGTTAATCACGAAAATATGTTAGCTTTCACGAGTATTAATAATGTAACCTGGTGGTTTATTACCTTTGTGGATAGCTGCAAGTTGTTCGTGGTAAGGTCTGTTGATAGGCTGGTTTCACTCGTGGTTGTCACAGTAATCTCACCATGTGTCTTTGACCTCCCCTCTGCTTGGACTAAACCCATCTTGAATAGAAAATGTTCAAAACTGTAATAGGATGAAACATGTATACCAATGAATCAATATTCAAATAAGTTATGCTCACAGCAAAAAATAACTTGGTTTCCGCAATGCGGAAACCTGGTGGAAAGTGGACTGAAACTTAAGTTTCCACCTAGAATCCAGTGAGTTTCCGTTCTTTTACATTGAGTTTCCGCCATAACGGAAACTTACAATTACCCACTTTCTAAGGGTTTCCGCACGGTTTCCGTTATCCACACTCCAACAGGTTTCCGCAAGGTATCCGTTACCCACACTCCGACAAGTATCCGTTGAGTTTCAGTTAACTTTGAATCCATCAGGTTTCCGCAAGGTTTCAGTTATTAAGACTCCAACAGGTTTCCGCATAGTTTCAGTTACCAACAATCCGACATAGTTTCCGCATAGTTTCAGTAACCAACAATTCGACATAGTTTCCGCATAGTTTCAGTTACCAACAATCCGACATGGTTTCCGCATAGTTTCAGTTACCGGTTTCAATTTCAGGTTCACAGGTTTTCTTTAATATGCGCTTCAAAGAGCCAAATTTAACCATTCTTCTTTATTCATATCATAAACTCTTGTTAAAAACAATATAAGCAATTTGTTATTATCATGACATTTACTTAAAGAAAAACAGAATATATAATAAAATTCATTGTTTTATTTTCTCAACATGAATATGAATTAGCATTTAAGGCAAATAAGGATCATACATATAACTAGTAATATAGCACTAAAAAACAGGGCAAACATTTTGGCATAACTCAATCCAGTTTAAGAAATCATATATCATTTATAACAAAGTAGTAATTTTTCATCAGTTAAACTTTCATTCACTTATTATCTTGAAATAGCATGTTAGATATGAAATTTATTTAAAAAAATCACGCTAATGGTGAAAAATAACAATAACATACAACTTAACACAGTAATAAAACATAGCTGCATCGGACATTTATTTGCACGCCTTGGCATTCAGCCACACACTCTATGTCACAACTATCGCCAAACATCCACTATGATATACATCATACAATAACACAACATACAGCCTACAATACAAAAATAAAATAAAATAAAAATTACATTATGAAATTGAAAATAAATTCAATTATATTGCAAGAGTTGGTCAGTTAGCCCAATAAGGGGCATCCCTAGGCGGAGATCCCTCCGGTTGGTTGGATGCCTCATCCTCGTCCTCACGTTGGGCCATGACGAGGGCAGTGGAGGTGTAGATTCTTTCCAAGTTCAGTGTCGTCGTGTATGCCCTAAGCTTGCTGGACTCCCAGACAAAGGGGACGGAATGCAACTAATTGACGTCATCTTCGTCACTCACGACTGGTGATGTCATGTCTATTGTGAGTGTTGTCGCTACCTTTCTTTCGTCTATCTGGCCAATCGATAGATGCAAGTCTGTTTAGGCGTTGTGCAAGTTTCTGAAAATGGCAGGTAATAACGAATTACTAGATTATTTTGATAAATTACACAAACATCAATCAACAAGAAACTGATAATGCCAAGGATGATTTAAAATGAGTAATCCAAAAGGAAATTTGAATAAAAGAGAATTGAACAATCACACTTTGCACTAGTTTTCTCAAAACTCAAATTATGCAATCCATCACACTTCATTGACCGAATGAAATATCTTATTTTCTAAAGAGGACACACAATCTATACAATATTTGCTCTGGAGTTACATGCTTCCCAGACCATAGGTAGTAATACGTTATATATATATCTGAACATTTATTGCATTTTCTATATAGTAATAATGGTACTAGTAATAGATTTTCATCAAATTGCTATATTCAATCTCTTGCAGTTCGTATTGAGCCCATTTCTGGTGTCCCCCGCCGTGATATTGCTGGAATATTGCTAAAAGCGACGTAAAACCAAACTCAGTCAGTCAGTCGTATTGTTGAAGGCACAAGTATATTCACCCAGTAGTGACTGTATGTTTACACCATTTATTCTTTGAGGTGTATTTTGAAGTGAATAATACAAGACATGAATGTTTACGGATGTCAACGTCTTTATTATGTGAAAACACAATGTTTCGGAGTGAATGCTTACACCTGACGAAGGGGTAAGCATTCACTCTGAAACAAGTTTTCACATAATAAAGGAGTTGACATCCATAAACCTTGTCTCTACACTATTAATTTGAAATTATTTACTATTTATAATGAAAGTCACTACAGATAGGTCAAAATTACCTTCACATGTTCCTGCTGACCATCCTTGGTCATTCGTTATACGGTCTCCAGACTCATCATCAGCTTTGCTGAAAAAACAACAACATTAACACGTTACTTTTCGTTGCATTTCTCCATTCATTCATTTGAGTTTTTAAAAAACCCCAAACAATTGCAGTGACATTTATACCAACAAGCAAACTACAGATTTATCACTTTAGGTTATGCAATCAGTAAGTGAACGGCCTGACATAAACATCCTGATGAATGGAGTTTAGTAATCTCATGTGACATAACCTTGGAGTAATTACGGTATTGTAAAATCAAGGGGTCAGTTTGACTGCAATTTCACACAGGTGTGAAGTTAAGATTTATTTGGTCCTATTTGAAATCATGATTAAGTTACCGGTTATTCAAATCCATTTGCAAATGCAACTTTAGTATGGTTCATTTTGTGAAAATGTATCTAGGGAAGCATAATAATAAAATATTCAAAGTGAAATTATGTCTATATTTCGTAGTACCCTAAACACATACCTTCAATAAGAGAGGGTGATGTTTTCCTCCAGGAGTAGTCGTGACACATGTTTCCTCACAATAGCCTAAATGAATAAAACAAATCCATTAATATATAATCTATTTGCTATATTGTTCAAATTGTAGTATATTTTTAGATAGACTTATTTTACTTCACCATCGTTTAAAAATAGTTCGAGCAAAACTGCTTATACAGTCATCGGACTTAAATATACGTCAGTCGGCAAAATTCTCATAGACTTGCATGCTATTTTAGTGTAGCTGTGTAATTTTCATTAATTCCGTTTTCCATATTTGGTTGTCAAATTTTGCAGGTTGTTAGGAAATCATCTTAGTCACAGATACATAATTTCCCGCATTGTAGTTACAATTCTTTCCCCATAGACCGCCATGTTAAAAAATTGCCATAACCATGACACGCACTGAATTGAAAATAAAACGGAAATTATGTCTTTGTAGCTGAGATGATTCATGACCCATGTGCAAAATATGAACAATATCAAACGGATATTAAATAAATTCAAGACATATGTCTAGCTGCACCAAATTAACATGTAAGTCGAATAATGCATAGGGACGAATACCCCTATGGCCAGTGGCTGTAATTCGACAGATTAGCTTGTTTACCAATCCGGATTTCTGTAAGTTAAGTAAATAATAATTCATTAAGCGTTATTTGACAACAAAATAACTTGGTCTTACCTGACAGGGTCGTGGTACTGCGAGTTTTTCGCAGACATTCCATCTCTCTTTTCCAGGTAGCGAATTCTCTCTTCCAGTGCTTTGAGGGAAACTGAGGCGGCTATGAAAATGGCGTCTCGCAAAGACTCACGGGAAAAACACTTTGTTGTTGTTTTTTAATCTTAATCTAACATTACAGTTTGACAATATCTTTCCGCGTTATACAACAAAAACAACATACACTATACACCTAAAATGTCAGCTGTGTGTTTTTATAATGATTTAGGTAGTCTCGCGTGGACGTGATCCGGTCGCCATTGTTTTATTTGTTTACATTGCCAACATCAAAGGGACCCGTGAAAGGTGGAAATGAGCAGATTGAATGTGAGTACCCAAAGTGACAACAGTTGGCTGTTATGGGCTTAAGGGTCTTTTCATCGCATTATGGGCACTAATTGCTCCTCCTCAGTGTCAAACATCAACATGTAGGCCTAGAGATAATTAACAGTGAATAAATCTGAAAACATATTCTTGTTACTTTAAAAGTTCTGATCGAGCTTCATGGGTCCTACTCATGAGAACTTGTGTTAGTAGCAAATAGGTGATTTTCAAAACCCTGTCAGGAGTAGGCAATATACGAAAATATTTCTGCTGGACGTAAAACTTCATCATGTAAGTAATTTACCTATTGAGCTCAAAACATGCAAGTGTATTAGACATGCTTATATCATGTTCATTCTTTTCAGTTCTACACCTAGATCTACGTATACTATTCCCATGTATTATAAGTTTACTTATTACTAGTTTATATGTAATGTCAGCTCAATATATCTGAGTGAGTGAGTTTAGTATTACACCGCACTCAGCAATATTCCAGCTATATGGCGGTATTTATCCAATTATACCAGTTCTTCTATTTTAGTGTTAACATATTTTATTCAAAACAAATTGGACCAGGATTGGTAAACAATGGCTTATTTGAATACCTCTCCATTCCATAGATACACTAACAAAACAAATAATAAATAGTATGCAACATGATAGGAAAGCAAGCAACTCATCTAATTTATCATTTTATAACCATTAAAACAATTATTACATATACTTTACACTCATAGCTTTGTGTAATAATTTGTGTAATCAATTATTAAACCTCTTAACCTTACAATGCATTGACACAAGTCACGTTTCTAAAAGAATATTTTTTTTCAATTTACAGATACGTATTGTGGATCCACTGACTTGTTGGAGATTGACAAGAGGCTTGGTTTGGTAATCATTTATAGTTACACCATATCATGCTCCTTATTTCATTAAAGGAAATCTTAAAACAATATATTCCAGGAGTAATACAGTTGAACAGAACCTTGTTGACATTTCTATTGGATTAATTGTGAATTGATGTGCACATATTACAGATAAAATTCGGCGTAACGGCATTCATATATACATGGCTGACACTGCGTTCTCCCCAACTCATGGAGTCAACTGCTACACCGTGACAGGGAACAGGGACGGGACAAACATACCTGATGCTTTGAAGGCTAGGTGTTCTGGTAGAGGGCGCTAGTCCTGTACACTACCACTGTAAACAACGAAATCAACAACGTAAACGTACCTATCCTGGATTTCTGTGATGTCGAGGACTGAAATGTTACATAAGCTTTTACATGCAAACGGGCAGGTAAAAAATGCTTTCTCAGCATCATTGTTGTCAAATATACTTCCCATCAAAATTTTAGACTCACTCAAAGCACTCACCATATGGTATGTATTTATATATGGTTACATCAAATATTGATTTCTCCAGTAACTTGGGGGGAACCAAGTGCAGGCCTTATGCAGATGAATTGTACGAGGATCATGCATCAAATTGCTGAAAAGCATGTGCAAATATCGTGCATGGGAACAGCTGCGTTATGGTGTAAAGTTTTGTTAAGAATTCGCCAGTTTTCACTGATTTTTATCATTTATTGAACTCATGACAATAATTTTTTTCAACGTTACGAATGTGTTTTACAATGCATCAGTTCATTTGTAAACAATACCTTTAAACTGAATGGTATATTTTGTAAAATTTAGTTTAGAACAGTTGACTGAAGTAAGTGGCTATATTTACACTAGTGAGTCTAACCTTTTGATAGGGAGTATATGTTAGTTTGTTAGTTATGAAAATTCCCCCTGTAGGTATGATTTACGCGCCATTACTACAGTGCGGCAATACATGTATGCTTGAATTACTTTTACAATAGGGACTCGCGCCTTCAATCAACTAATCACGCCATGCCTTTAATAGTATGTGGCCCTGGTACTTTCGGTGCTGACTGTGACGACTACTGCCACTGTGACGTCAATGTGTGTGACTACGTCAGCGGCGTCTGTCCAAGTGGAGTCTGTCTGCCAGGCTTTCAAACAGAAAGGTGTGACACAGGTGGGTAGTTTTGTTCATGTAACATATGTTATAGATGTCATGGGGCATGGTGGGCGAGCTGGCTAAGGCGCCAGACTAGTGATCCAGCGAGCTTGAGGTGTCCGGATCGAGCCCACCTGTGACTGGGTGTAAATACCTTGGAGTCAGACGCTTTCAGTGTTGTCGCAATCCTCAGTGTACTTTACACAACCCTGTGGACTTAAAAGAACCCACGAATCCGTTGGTATATGTCCAGATGGTGGTCACGTGAATACGTGCAAACGCCCAATTGCGGGGACAGCAACAAGCAGTAAACTTGGACAAAGTACTGTGACCATGTTTCCAAGTCCACCAAGCTGTGAATGGGTACCTCGCAAGGATGGGAAAGCAGCAATAACTCGGTGCGCCTGCAACAGTTGTATGATCCCCGGGGAGCTGAGATTGATAATACGATGAGCCGTTGAGATTGACATCCAGTGATTGAGGGGAAAAAAATATCAGCGCCTTGAGCGTGTACTAGTTGCGTGGATATGTGCGCTTTACGAATATCCTATGATAATGTCATTGATACGACAGAGTTACTTCCGTTTGGCTGTTTTCCGAACCTAGTTTACAAGTTCGCTTTCTATCGGCTGAACTGATTCAGCTAAACCAATCACGCCTAGTCTTACTACGCTCCAGCAATACTTGTCTAATGGCGGTTAACTAAAATGTTACGAACATTTCTCGTCTTGCCGCAGGACTGGCTACTTTTTTGGACAGCCAGTCTTTGCACAAATAAGATTTTTAAACTATTTATACACTGATAATACATATAATTTCAGACTTGAACAAGTTACAAGTTTAAAAGTTTTTTACAAATATTCAAAAGAATCAAAGGCAGGAGGTAACTGGGATTAGAAATATGGGTTGTTTCACTGAACATGAAAAACGTTATGTTTTCAGCTTGTATCTATGGCAGTTATGGAACAAACTGCAATCAGAAGTGTTCAGACAGGAATTGCAAAGGGCGACAACTCTAGCTGTGACAGATCCACGGGGGAGTGTGTTGGCGGCTGCAAGGCAGGGTGGAATGGCATAGACTGCACACAGAGTAAGAACCCGAGTTTAATGAAAGTATTTCCAATAAATTTAACCTTATCGATCAGGCTGGTGTGTTCTCCAAGTACCTCAAGTGAGTGAGGGAGTATGGTTTTACGTCGCTTTTAGCAATATTCCAGGAATATTAAGACGGGGGACAACAGAAACGGGCTTCACACATTGTACCCATGTGAGGAATCGAACCCGGGTCTTCGGTGAGACGAGTGAACGCTTTAACCACTCGGCCGCCCTACTGCCCCTCAAGTACATCAAACGCGACAAGCACCCAACCTCAGATGAAGTGTTTATAATCAGATTTTACATGTTCCCTCTCTGCTATTGTGTTGATCAAATCGTTTCAGAGTGCGTATTTACCTACGGAGACAACTGTGCTCGCCTGTGCTCTGCCAGAAACTGCAGTGGAACGTCGTCATCCAGCTGTGATCACGTGACAGGGAAGTGTGACGGAGGCTGTAAGCCCGGCTGGAAGGGCAATGACTGTAGAACAGGTTAGGTTCGATCTTTGGTCTTGGATAAAATCCTTTCTAGTCTACCCACTTTATCACACTGTTGATGCAAATTGAAAAAAAGCTAAAGGAGACATCAGTAGAAGCAGGACTCAACTGTGAGTGTGTGAGTTTACGCAGCCCTCAGCAATATTCCAGCAATATGGCAGCGGGCTGTAAATAATCGAGTCTGTGCCAGACAATCCAGCATGAGCATACGATGACATGTGTCAACCAAGTCACCACCCGATCACGTTAGTCGCCTCTTACGACAAGCATGGGTTGCTGAAGATCAATTCTAACCCGGATCTTCACGGGTCAAACCATCTGTTAGTATGTGAACAGTATTTCAGCCATATAAAGGCTAATGCAAGTTAGGAATTGATAACACATAAAGGGTCTAAAACGTGTCGACACATAACAGTAAAGGAACGTCACATGTATATAGGTAGACATACATACTGGCAGGTTACAATATTGTTGGGCCCATTTGCAAGATGCTCGTGGAATAAGTATGTAAAGAAAAGACACCTCCACCCCCCCTCCCCACCAAGAGGGACACCCACCCCACCCAGACTCACACACCCACACAACCAAAAAACGAAAAACGTGTCGACACATAACAGTAAAGGAACGTCACATGTATAAAGGTAGACATACATACTGGCAGGTTACAATGTTGGGCATATTTGCAAGATGCCCGTGGAATAAGTATGTAAAGAGAAGACACCTTCACCCCCACCCCACCCAGACACACATAACCAAAAAAAAAGAAAAAGACCTAACCTAACCAAAGCTATTACTAAGGCAAATGTAGACTACGTTCTCCAGCTCCAACAACACCATGAGCATATATTTACACGGGTCACTGTCTCGTAGGTATGTTAGATGGAGTTCTCAATGAGGTGAGCATATCCTTCCCTGTCCCCCACAAACAAGTCCAAAGGCAAACCAAGTAAATCATGTATACTTACATGGAAGGCTAAAGGCAGTTTCTTTACATGCAGTGTGCACCCAGGGGTTAGAATACGGAGCTGACTGTGTGGGTAACTGCTGTGCCCGGATGTGTGAAGGAGGGTCGGGCATCTGTCCCAAAGATACAGGACGGTGTGACTCTGGCTGTGAGTCGGGGGTGGCAGGGTGAAGACTGTTCACAGGGTAAGAGTCAACAACAATTTGTATCAAACCTGCTACGGGTTCTTAAAGAAAGCATCGAAACTATGTTTGGTTTGACTAGGAACTTGTTCATGCAATGCATTTATTCCAAAATATATGTCAGATTGTAACAGTAATAATATTCAGACTAAAAGTAGTTATAATGTGTTAAACACAAATAAACGTTTCCTTACATACGGCTTCTGTCACGTCAGACACGGCTACTTGGAACAATGTGAAGATCTAACATTGCGGGAATCACGAAACATGAAGGATGCTAAAAAAGTGGATGATTGCTTTTCTACTGATTGATCAGTGTGGTAAAGTCCACTTCAAGTCCACTGAAAATCAAAAGGTGTCACTTATAAATATCCAGTGGTCACCGTTTACCGTACTTTGACGGCATAGGACATGTTTAATAATATTTACTACTTTCTCTTACCCATCTCCATAATTTACATATTTGTTTAAATATTCCCAACTGCAAGCTAACACAACATTTAATAACTTGCTATCCTCGACACAAATTCCTACATTCAGAGTACATTTTGATAGGTCGGTACATGTATGATGTGCTAAATGAATATCATAGAACACATTGCAATAACAATATCCGCATCTTTCGTGTTACAAATGTAATGTGTAGATGTTTATTCACCAGTCTGTAGTCTTGGTTCATTCGGTGTCAACTGTACTGGGGAATGTGGAGAATGTCGTGACGCCAGCGATTGTCACAATGTCAACGGAACCTGCCTCATGGCATGCAGCGATGGGTGGACTCACCACACATGTACACAAAGTAAAATGCTCAATATTTCTTCAGTCCTTCAATCACACTGCCTGACTGACTGAGTTTAGTTTTGCGCCGCTTTTAGCAATATCACGGCCGGGGACACCAGATATGGGCTTCACACAGTGTGCCCATGTGGGGAATCGAACCCGGGTCTTCGCAGTGACGAGCCAACGCTTTAACCACTAGGCTACCCCAACGCCTACTTTCAATCACATGACCCACCATGGCATTTATTACATCGTGTAATAAGATGTATATAGTTTTACGACATTCGTGGGGTCGCTTTCGCCTCTGGTACAGCTGTGCCTTTCGTAAGTGAGTGTGTAAGAAAAGGTCTGTCGTGCATCTGACTTGTTCACAGACAGACCTAGCTTGTCATTAAATCATCATTTGTGTAGTAATTGGAACCATCACGTACTATAACATGATTACATGCTAATAGGCGGACATTTTCCCCGTGCATGGCAAGGGTCAATATTCATGTATATGACAAGCGTCAATATCATTTCTTCAAACTACTATCCAAATTACTTTACAGTCATCGAATAACCTCGAAATACTTGCAAACATGTTCAACTAATTAGAGTTGATATTCAGTTACTGCCAGCTGAACATAGCACATACTCTATAATTTAGCATATCCTTCAGTAACACTGTCACCACTATTTTCCTTTCAAATGAAAATATTCCATTGACAATATGGTTATCGTAGGACACGTGTCATCCGACTCACACGAAAACTATGTTTCTCTACATTCTGATAACCAGCAGCGCAGTGAAGAAGTGAATAAGCAAGGAATGCCTTGTTCTTCTAAGACTATGGTGTTATTAATTAATCTTTAATGTCTGCAACTGTGTACAAATGTGTTATATAATGCTGAAGATAGATGTTCTTGCTTCTCTTCTGGTTGAAACACCATCGTCCAATGTAGGCGTCATAGCGGGCTCTGTAGGTTCCAGCTTTCTTGTAGCAGCCATTGTTGTTACGGTCGTTGTCTTACTCAGGTACGAAGGACATCTTGATATAGTATATGAATTGTGACAATTAATAATGCTTTCACTTGACTATTTATACTAGCGAAACATCGTGGATAATGCCATATAATTTTGGTCTTTGTCACAGTTCACACGACACTTTAGAATTGATCTTCAGTAATACGTGCTTGTCATAAGAGGCGACTAACGGGTCGGGTGGTCAGACTCGCTGACTTGGTTGACACATGGCATCGTATCCCAATTGCGCAGATCGATGCTCATGCTGATGATCACTGGATTGTCTGGTCCCGACGGGATTATTTACAGACCGCCGCCATGCAGCTGAAATATTGAATATCACTCACTCACTAACTGCTAATGAAAGCATGCACGAGTGTGCATGGATACGACTTTCCTAGTCATACATTATTAATTTGAATCATAAGGGGTTATGTGCCTCGTAGGTACCTCTAGATTGTATGTATAATCAAACAAAGTGTGATTAAGTGATTAATGTTTTGAAGCCGCACCAATACCAAGCAATATATCTGGCCCATATCAAACATCACATGGATTTTTAGACAATAAGGTAACGGTTAGCTATTCTGGTTCTACAATGAGGCCATTACATGTGTGGGTTATACAATACCATGTTTGTTTCTCTATGCACACAATAAATTGTACTAATGCATTTCGTTCTTATACGAAGACGGCGGAGATATCCACACTCAACGAAAACAAATAAACATGCAGATATATCCCAAGAGCAAACATGTCCGTATAAAGGAATAACAGAGAATCACATTGAACTGTCATGGATATGAGTAATTATGTGGGTTATTCATCATTGCTTAAACCAGATCTGGTATACTTTATGACTTATTTGTTATATTATGATGCAACGTTTCGGTATACATTCTTTTTGTACAATGGCATAGAATCTAAACCGAAATGTCAAATCATAACATTATAAAGAAGTTGTCATCTATAAAGCATCTTCCGTTTCTTATCAGTTGAAAACTAAACTGCAATTCAAAAGATCATATGCCTTAGTACATGTAGAAGTTGCAATCAACACCACCAGCACATTCCCTTCAGTCATATGTTATATATTGTATATATGTATATAATTGTGTCGATTGACTTTAATGAGTTAAAAAATTCACTTCAAATGTGGACTACCTATTGGACCAGGCTCTGACTGAAGATAAGGTCGATGTGTTTGGTTGTGTCTCAAAGATGAGAGACCAGAGAAAGGGCATGATACAGACAAAGGTAAGAGTTTCATCTCAATGTAAATGTTCATTTTTGCACCGATGTTCTATATATAGTATGACCAGAAATTATTGAGAATTTTAGGAATATGTTTAACTGGATTTCTAGTATAAACAACCTTGACCAGTTATCAAGTGTTTGGTTTCATTCAAGAGAGACAACTCCGTTAATCCTTTTTCATTAGTTTGTGAAGAGTTACCCCCCTTTGTTTACTTGCTATCAGACGACAATTTCAGTGATCCTCAGTACGGATGATTTAGAGAAGAGGAAGTTTATTTTAGAGTATTATAACAAGGACATCAGATCAGCTAAAGTGATTTCAAGTAGAACAGGCATCCCTTTGTCAACTGTTTATCGTGTTTTGAAACATATTGCAAATGGATATGGCATTGAGCACCAGAGAGGCACAGATATGCCCAGAAAATTGACTGTCGTTGACAGGAGGCAGCTTGGTATTGGGACTTATGAAGGAAAGGGGCAATAAGAAAAATCTGACAAATATTGCTGAAATGAAAGAAGAGGTGGTCCGATATTGGAACAGCTAGACCCACGACTTTCTAACTTCTTTGAACAGTAGTATGCCCCGCCGCATTGAAGCCTGCATTGCTGCCCATTGTGACTTGACAAAATACAAACTGTTCACCTGTCTTTGAATCTGGAGTTATGTTATGCTAATATTCACATTTAATACGTGAGTTACAATCTTTAAATTCTTAATGATTTCTGGTTGTACTGTAAGAATGCATATGAAGCAAACAGTCCACAGAAGAACTTTATGTCTCACATTTGCATAAACTCACGAATGTCAACGGTCGTTTTATTATTACTTCAAGACCAGTACAAATGTGTTTACATGACCTTGCAAGAGGCTCTGGAGTTTTGAAACACAACCATGGACATGCAGGAGTTCAATCAAAATCGAAGTGGGAACAGAACCTTCAAGATGGCACGCATAGAACCCACACAGTTAATACAGGTAGAGGCAAAACATTGAAATAATATACTACGGAAAATTCCCTGAAGTATTATGATAATTATAAAATTCTTTGTTTCCTGTACTGTAAAAAACGTATACCTTTCTCAATATCTTTTAGATCCTGAATGCGAAAAGAGAGTTCCCAAGAAAAGGTAAGCAAATGTAGCGTTCCCTTGTAAATACATACCACTTGGTTTAACAGTTCTATTCCGTTCCATACCATCGATGCAGAAAACCTGAAGTCTAAAGCTGTTGTTTCAGAAGCCAAGGCCAAGGGGGATATATACGTCAATGGGCACTTGCACATTCTGGGTGCATGGTCACCAGTGGGTGTCTTATAGTCAGCCACGTAATCGGTAATCAGACATCTCCGGTCAGGAACATCGACATTAGTGTTGAGAGGTTCAACGACCATGACACTTGGTCTGTGCCACTACATTCTGAATGAGCAATATTATAATTATTGTATTATTATATGGTAATATATTCATATAGCGCCGAGTTCCAGCTAGGCTGCTCACAGGTGATTTTTTTTTCCCTCGATCGTAGGATGTCAGTCTCAACCGCACTTCGCATTATCAATCTCAACTCCCTGGAAGAGCATACAACTCTTGCTGCCAGTAGGCGCACCGAGTTAATGTGGCTTTCCCATCCTGACGAGGTACCCATTCACAACTGTGTGGACTGGGACACATAGTCAGAGTACTTTGTCCAAGTTTACTGAACATTGCTGTATCCGCAACTAGGTGTTTGCACGTATTGATGTGGCCACCATCTGGTCATATACCAACGGAACGGAATATCTGATACACACGGGGATGCTTTGCAGTTGTGAAAAGTACATCGTGGTATCTTTGCAATCTCTCATACATACATGAGCTGAGCCGGTATTACGACTGCCCTGGACAACCGTGACCCTTGACTGCAGTGGAGTAACTTAAAAATATAGCTAGCGTAAACCGTTGTTTATTGGTCGAAAGGGGCAGTGGGAAAACCTCGTGGTTGAAGCGTTCGCTCATCACGCCGAAGGCCCTGGTTCGATTCCCCACATTGGTACAATGTGTGAAACACATCCTGGTGTCTTCGCCGTGATATTGCTGGAATATTGCTAAAGGCGACACATACAGCTTTCATAGTCATAATGTGACTTTACATATTAATCCTCTCTCTCTCTAACCATGTTGAAAATGATGGATACCATGTAATGTATATAAAGTATTCCTCCTTCAGTCTCACCTGTCCATGAAAGGCTATCTACTGACTGAAGCTCCCTCCGTCACCACGGCGTCTCTGTTCTCGAAACTCATAGAACAACAGGAGTCTGCTACTGTCATTGTCCTGCCAGACTCGCACCAGGTGAGGGGTTGTCTTTCTCTTACAACTGTTTCACTCAGGCGAGCACACTTGGTGAGCTGTTCCATTTGAACCAATGACTATACTTTCAGAATCTGTCCAGTTATGTGCCATCTCCAGGAGACAGCCTGAACTTGAGTCCAGTCAGTGTGAGGTGTTCAACAGAGAACACGATCAACCCCGACATCGTGCTCAGGAACGTTAGCGTACAGATTGACGTAAGCTTTCATTTTGCTATTCATATGTTAAAATTTGTCTCCAGTATCTTTGCTCATTTATGGAGGCACAGATAAAACACAAACAATATTGAAATCTATTCGTGTAAATAAATACGTTAACAATGGAAACTTCCAAAACCTCTTATTTAATCATTATTTAACCGTAGACAACATCATGAAATTACTGTTCACCGAATACAACACAAATCTCACCTTAACCACCTTAACGTCATCAACCAATCAAGAAAAAGAAGTCCGTTAGCTCGGCTGGCCTATAAATTCCGGTTTATGGACATATACACAAAACATATAATTGCTTAGTTACCGGATAAAGTGTAGCGAAATCACGGTGAAGAACGTACATTTATAATAAATGGATACACAAGATATCTACTAATGTCACCCGTTTTTAGAAAACAGTTGTTGTTCGCCAAGGGTTTCCTCTGTCGGCAAATAATCCAGTATATCATACAATATAGCTTTCGTTTCTAAGTAAAGTACCCTTGAAGATCCGGTTAGAATTGGTCTTCAGCATCCCATGCTTGTTGTAAGAGGCGGGATTGGGTGGTCAGGCACGCTGACTTGGTAGACACATTTCATCGTATCCCAATTCCGTATATCGATGCTAATGATGTTGATCACTGGATTCCCCAGTAAATACCCGACTGTAAGACCACCGTCATATAGCTGGAATATTGCTGGCGTTAAACAACAAACCACCTCGCCAAATGAGTAAAACAAAATGTAATTCTTACAATTCACCGTGGACCGTCCGCCATCCCCAGTACATGTGTACATAATGAACCAGTTTCCAAAAGACTCCCACTCTATGCTGTTGGAACTCCTAGAACAACTAGACCATCATACGACTGGGAATGAATCCCAACCAGTAACTTTCATCTACAGGTACACTTAAGATCTTTGTAAGATTTCAGCTCTAAACTATTGTTTACCACACCGTGATCCTCCACAATTCCTTTTTAGCCTTAGATATAGCATGTCAAAGGATGACAGTAATTACTAGCGGTTGTTCCATGTTATAATTGTTAGTAAAGTTTGTTGAGATGACAAAGTTGTACACGCCAGCTTTCCTCACAAGAGAAGCAGGATGAAGATCCTGGAGTGAAGCCGACCAATTTAGAAACTGTTTGATACTGATGTCAGGTTGCGTAAAGTATTAACAATACATATTTTATGTTGAAGTGAATCTGACAGAAAGAGAGGTGCAAATATTGTGCATCCTGAGCAATATTGTTCAAGGCCTGAAGTATTACAAAACAGTTGAGATCTACAACAACATGAAGGCTATGTCCCACTGCCTGGATCAAGATATCACACAAGTATGTTTGCCATGACTGACTGACTGAGTTTAGTTTTACGCCGCTTTTAGCAATATTCCAGCAATATCACGGCGGGGGACACCAGAAATGGGCTTAACACATTGTGCCCATGTGGGGAATCGAACCCGGGCCTTCGGCGTGACGAGGCAACGCTTTAACCACTAGGCTACCCCACCGCCCCTGTTTACCATGAAGTGTCAGTGTATTTTGGTATGACATCCTAACAACCATATGAAAGTTTGACTTCAGAAATAGTTGTGCTTTTTTAGATTTCTTGACTGAAGCAAGACTTACATTAGAAGTTGAAAGAGAGAACTCCTGTTCGAAGACAAGATAAATCAACTGTGTGTCCAATTCAAGGAATACTAACGTTGACTCCAAAACTGCAATTACCCGTGTAATGTTATGTAATCAGTCAATCATGACTTGGAATAAACAAATTTTAGGAGATAAACTGGTTGAGATCATTTGTAAAGCTTACGACACCAGTTCATGTACAAAGAATTCTGAATATCCTCATTTAAGATAGGTTTCATAAACAGGTAGAACGTTGTATTACCTAACAAGCGGCTATTACCAAACAAAATGCCGTTTCCATACATTTTTCTCAACTTTTGCTATGAGTACAGCCTTGGGGGCATCCAACAAAACTGTCGTTTAACATAAAAATATGGTAAGATTACAGAATACTGGATACCTTCCGCCATCTTTGAAAGCACGCGAGTTTACTATTGGTTAGGGTTAGGGTTAGGTTTAGGGTTAGGGTTAGGGTAAGGTTTAGGGTAAGTGTTAGGGTAAGGTTTAGGGTTGGGTTAGGGTTAGGGTAAGGTTTAGGATTAGGGTGACGTGACACTAAACAATATGGCTGGTAGGTATCCGGTATTCTGTAAGTGTACCAAAAATAGTTATCGAAGCAAAAAGACAGAGAAAAAAGAGATAAAGAACAGGCATGACATCTTACGCGTAATGCCTGTATGAGCGATTAGAGGGCTGAACCAAGTCTGTCCGAAACTGGATTACGTCTTGACGAAAAGCCTTCATATCAATGTATCGTACAACAAAGCCCTACTTGCATATATTTACACAACTTTAGTTCAGCAAAGTGAAGGTAGCACGGGTTGTCATGTTGGACAAGAATTGTATCTAATAAACAACAAGAATCGACAACCCTAAAACGCGTCCTGCGTCACATTTCCACATAAGTCATACTCCAGAACTGATTAGTTAAAACAATACAGACAACAACTCCAACAGTATGGCTGCTTATATTTCCATTTCGAACATGCGGCTTGGGGCATGTTGATAAATGTTTGAATTGTCCCACCGTGACCTCGTGTAGACGTCAAAAGGACTTTGGTGAGAGTGGTTTCATTCCTATGTGCACACTACTGACCAACGGATACCTTGCATGTTATGTATCCGACACGATAATGTTATTTAATTACTCATATTACAGTTACATAAGGCAGTGTTAGCCGATACTCAAAGTGACACAAAAGGTGAAATATTTGTTGGTCCTGTAAGAGTTTTAAACGACGGCAGCTAGGTTATTATCGCTACTGTCCATGTTCAAGTAAGTAATTCCATGAGTAGTTACTTTCAAAATACATACACGTCAGTAAACATTATCAACCCGTAACTTGGTACTGCATATTTTTGTGCAATTTGTGCAGAACATGGGCGATATAATGGAAGTGTTGCAAAGGAATCGTGAACACGCTTGTATCACCATCAATAAATGTTTCAGAGAATGACAATACTTTGTAAATGTATGTTTTGATCTTTTATAATGTCTTGAATGTCATATAGTAAACCATGAATATATTTATCATTTATTCTTGCAAGAATAATCTTAAACCGTATCTTTTTTCAATAGAATTTAACCTGCATAGTTATATTTCACAAAATACTGAGGAAGTACAAATGACGTTTGTTGCTTTCTACACATGCTTTGAATTGCACTCGATTATCAGGGTTATCCTGAGCAAGTGAATGTCCTGTAAGTGAATATTCAAATAACATTTTTAACAAATGTTTTCCTGTTGACTTATTGCGGAGCCGTATTTTGTGTTAGTTACATCCTCGTTAGAGTTTAAGCATGTGGACGTCGATTCGTTCTTTACAAATACTTCCTGATATGTTTAGACAGACGCATTACTTTTATACATGTGGCAAATACTGGCCTATAGATGTAGCAACCTTTTCCTCGTTCCTGTTACTGAACCTTACATAATTGCAAATATCAGTTACAGGAACGAGGAAAGAGCGCGTTGACCTCCTGTTTGCTTCGACGGATCGTCATTTGTTTTCAATGACACTTCGGCCACAACGTAATTTGTATGGCATAATCTTTCCTCCACAATAGCCCGATAAGGGCGATCGGACGAGTCAGCAAGAGTGGAAATACATGAACATTTGACAATGTGAAATATCAATCAGCAACAGGATTGATGAACAGGACATACCGCCTTCGTGCGTGAATATGATTCCCACTGAACTGTTCTTTGTTAGCAGTACTTGCTTCATGTAATGAAACACAGCAGGAATAAGGCGGTATATAACGTTGACATTCGACATTCATAGCTGTGATCTCATACTGCTATTGACTGTAGGGTTATTAACTCACTATGGAAGCCCCGATAATGCCCATTGTATCATCATTTATAGTTAATTTAGTATTTGAACTTATGTTTTGCATATATCATGCCATCTAAGCACATTGCTTTGCAAACAGAAGTATAATATTCAAGTTCGATGACATAATTACTTAACTGAAACAGGTACGTTATCTCTAGAAACATTTTTATTCTTCAGGCGGACGTCGCTCTTTGTTACGACGTAGCTTGGGCGTTCATAGAGTCCCAAAGCATCTATGCAAACGTGTAACAAGCAACTATTCTCCTTCATGGACCAACAAACCCGAAGTCTCCAACTCGCAGACCTGATTTGATACCATCAGCAATCCCATTCGTAATGAATGTGTATTTGCTGTATTCATACGCATGCACTTTGTCCCAACATTGGCTCTTATTGTACTGTTATTTGTTAATGATAGCCATATGAATAAGTTTACCATCGATCCTTAACCCTCACCGATTATATCAAAACAAATCTTAAAATGATGAGTCTTTGTTTTGTGCTTGTATCATAAGTTAAAAGACGAGTTTTATTATGTTGTAAAGAATGTTATACTGTTGACATACAAGTAAATAAATTGAGGTCAGAGAAAAATCACATCTTCAGGCATAATTTCGTAAAATTCCGTGTTTGTATGTATGTGATTGATGAAATCACCTTTAAAATATGTAATAAATTTCAAATTATGTCATCTGTCTGGAACTAAGGCCTCACTCAAACGTGATTCCTGACAATTACCACATTATAAGGTTCATTTTATATAATGTGAATTATATCAGTGAAAGATATTTTTGGTATTAAACTACAACAACGACACACCCATGTCTCCTTATAGCAGGACGTTGATGGCATCCGATCACTATTTTGTACCTGTACCTGTTCAAAAGTTTGAAATAAATATATTGGAAAATAAATAATGTGCACAAACACACGTATCAACCGTTTTCAAATTGTGTTTATCTCACCACCTGTGTCAACGTTGTCGGTTGTTTGGACATAGGATGCAATGTCAGACGTTTAAGCAATACAAATATCTGGACGCCATTGTAAAGACCCGCCTCAAAGCTTCAGTAAAGACACAGTTTACACTCCAGAAAAGAATGAAACATGCCATTTTATGGATGATATTTTTTACAAGTTTGTAGCTTTGTAATGATGTAAGAATCTACATCGCAATGTCGCTCTATGCAAAAAACACAAAACACAAGAAGTTGTCATCCAAAAGTTGAATGTTTCATTTTTGATTGACCAACTTCTAGAATGCCGATCAAACAATTAGTAAGAAAGACTGGTTGCATTTGCTGAATTCGTAACCTGTAAGTTCGTGCAGGGTACACATCTCTCATTTTGATATGGATCAACAGATATACCAAACATTTATGCAAAATGAAAATTCATATATAATTCATAAGGTCAAAATAGAAAGACATATGTGTCGGTTACTCATGCATGGTTCATCTTCTCGTTACGTTGTTGCTGTTCTTATCATTATTTTCTGTTTTCAATGAAGATATTTGATACTATATTTTATTTCGTTTACATATTTAATATATTCATAAAATGTATTTTCCTGCATGATTTGATATCTGTTGTTAATCAGCCCACGATGACTAATACCGTGATGGGTGAGGTGAGGTGAGGTGAAATTGTGTTTAACGCCGTGCTTTAGAATATTTCGCTCATATGACGACCTGCATGCGTGTGTATGTGCATGTGCGGCTGCTTGTACTAGCCCAGACTTAAGCTGGTTTTATAATGCTAGCCCACTGAGATACCATGCCGCAGTGAAGCATGAATACCCCACTCAGACACATTATACTGACTCCGAGCCGACCAGTCCTAGTTGTACTCATTAATGCTGAGCGCCAGGCAGGGACCAACAAGTACCATATTTTAACGTCTTTTGGTATGACGCGGTCGGGGATCGAACCCGCGACCTTCCGCACTCCGGGCGAACGCTCTAACCACTAAACCACGGAGGCGGTTGAACCGTGATGGGATGTTGTTGGGTAACATAACAGTACTGCAAAGAATTCATTATCATATGTCCGCCTACAGGTATGTATGGTCGTGTAGGCCGGTTTTGTATGTATGGAATGAAAACATTAAAGAAACGTTTCAAAAGACTGGGATCACTGTTCAGGCTGATAGTCATGAATATGAAACGACTTATGT